TTTGACTTTCCACAAGTCACTAATGTGGTTATCAGGCATCAGCAGAGCACAGACATATTTCTGCTAAAGAGAAAGCCTGTCCATTGCCTTTGCAGGGCCTCAGGGATGCCACAGTGCACGGGTGACCAGGGAGTGTGCCCTTGCTGACCTGGAGTACCCGGGTTTGGGGCTGGGACTTGGCGGGGACACATTGTTGATATCAGCCCATGTTTCACCATGGCCTAGTCAGAGTTTTGGAGGCTTTTTTTGTTTTTTTCTGACAGCACCAAAACCAAAAGAAGAACATAAAAATTAAATTAGACCATATATATTTTTATTTCATTGATACAAAGATTTTTTTTAAAAAAACTCAGAACATATCTTACAATTGACATCTTAATTTATTCATTTTGTTCTCTTTTCTTTCAAAAAGCTGTTGTTCAATATGAAAATATCTTCAAATCAGTGGCATCTTAAAATGGAGAAATTATGATAATTTATACTAAGGCTTTCTTTTGAAGATGGAAGCAGATTTATTCATTTGTAGAATAAATATTTACTCTTCCTGCCCGTTCTTGTTGAAGGGTTTGCTGAAAGCAGATCCTGCTGATGTGAAACCAAGGGGGATTTTTTTTTTTTAGCTCCACTTGAACCAAGAAGAAAACTGATCTCCTGGGAGTGTGCCAGGAAGCCAGAGAGCCTGATGGCTTTTCCTCACCTCCAGCCAGCACCCAGGTGCTGCTCCCAGGGGTTCCAGAGGGGAAGCTCAGGGTCCCTGAATCTCCCAGTGTGGCAGAGAAAGTGTAACTTGGTCACCAGTGCCTGGAACACGAGGTCATATCTAGTCAGTGTCCACCAAAGAGAATATATAAAGGACAGGAGGTTAAAGGGACACTTCCTAGCCAGGAGCACTGCGGGGATAGCATTCCAGATGGAGAAAATCGTGGAAAGAGAAGCCCAGAAGCATGCTCAGAAAGCAAAGCAGGGCAACATGTTGAGAGCCCAGAGGAGCAGGTGGAGGTGAAATGGGGCCTCCATGTTCTTCCAAAGAGTAGGGCCTTATTCTCCGGGCTGCTAACTGGGTATGTCCCAGTCCATGGAGGTTGTGCAGCTTGCAATCTGTAACTAATAATAGAGACAGGATAGTACAAGAGCTAAGGGCTCCGACTGTGGTGTCAAGTTGCCCAGAGTTTCAATCCTGGCTCTACTCCTTTCACTTAACCCCCTGAGTTTGTTTCTTCAACTAAAAATGGAAACAACAGTTTCCTATCTACAATGAGGGATCATTGGATTCCTATAGGAAAAGCACTCAGCACATAAGAAGCAGTCAACTTTTTGAAAAAAGAAAGCAAATGCCTAAAACTCCAGTGTAGAAATGATTGCCTTTCTTAATAAATTAGAAAGGAATCCCAGTTACCTCTCCGACACTTTCATTCTCACTCCTGCCTGCTCATCCTGGGAAGGGATGAGATTACAGAGACATTGGAGATAAGCCACGGGGAGTGTATGGAGCACGTGAGGATCTTTCATCATCTTTGTCACAAAGGAAAACTGGTGTTCTGGGCCCTGGGGAGCAGTGGATGAGTTGTGAGCAGGAAGAGATGACGATGTGTTGTAATCTGGGGAGATTATTAAAGCCAACAATGAGCTCGCATTAGAATGGAAAGGGAGAGATTGGAAAGAGGTGGCCAGTAGGAGGTGCAGCACATATCTCAGGTGAGCAGCAGACTGTAAGACCAGCTCACCTTGATGTTTAAAAGCTGAGATACATAAAACTTTAAACTCTCCACTTTGAGTTAGGGTTAATTGTACAGAATTGTTAGTCTAATGCAGAGGAGATATTTGGGGCATTTTAAAACTCCAAACATCCATTTCCATGACCTTTGATCAACATTTTCTTGGGTCTTCAACCCCATTGAGGAGGTAGGAAGCACGCTGGGGTCTCCTAGAGCCTATTCAGGCGTGGATTCCTGTGGGGCAGTTTCATGGGGGCCTGGCCCAGAACAAATCCAGGTTTAACACTGAAAGGTTTCTGCAGGTGAGAGGGGAGGAAGGGAGGGAAGACTTCCTACCTGGGCAGACAGTCAGAGTGGCCATCTGAGCTCAGCCTTCAGCCTCCCACCTCGAATATCTAGCCTTGGCGCTGGTTGATTTCCCTTTCATCACTGACAACTGCAGCAGCAGCAATCACAATGAACGCTTACAGCATGATTCATAGGAACCTGGCACATGAATGCAGTCTTCATTCACCGGTTCCCTTTCTTCTTCCCACAACCTTGAGGTAAGCGCTCTTATTATCTCTGTCTTACAGTTGAAAAAACAGACTTGGTGAAGTGATGAAACCTGCCTGGGTGAGGGAAGGCAAATCCCAGGTTTGATGTTGGGTATTTCTCACCTGGATTCATAATGCCACAGCTACCCACTGAACTGACCCCTCCCTAGCCTTCCTGATGATGGACTGACCCACCTGGGCTCCATCCCCCTTGGAAGGGACACCTATCTGCCTCTCTTAGGTCAGATTGCCAGAAAGTTCTTCTATACAGTAAACCTAATATTGTGGTCTTGGAGCTGTCACTCGTGGGTTCATTTCTGCTCCCCAAGGCCCCAGTTCCCCAGGGAGCACATCTGTTCCACCCCTTCTTTTCCCCCACTCCAAGAGCCCTTCTGTTCTTGGAGACATTTGTCAAAGGCAGGATTCATGGGGCCTCCCTAGTCTGTGGTCCTTGCTATGAATTCCAGGTTGTCACTTGGCCCCTCCCCAGTGCACCTGCTGTGTACCCACTACTGTGCTGAACACTGAGCAGATATAAAGTCAGGCATTGTCTCAGTCCTCATGGATTCACAGTTAGAGGAGAAGGACATCAAACAAGTCATCTGGTCTGGTACATAGAACAGGGAAATCTCACCTGTCCGGGAAGGCTGGATCAGCCTCCTGGAGGAAGTGGTATTTAAACCAATTGTCAGAGTTATAAGCAAGCACTTCCTGGGGTGTGGGGAAGATTTCAGATAATAATCATATCATCAACTTGGTATGCATCAGGAACTTCTCTAAGTACGTTATATAACACCGCAATGGATCCTCACAACGGCCGTGTGAGGAATAAGTATTACTATTACCCAAATTTTGCAGATGAGGAAACAGACACAGAGAAGTAACTTGCCCAAAGTCACACAGTTACTTACACAGTAACAGTTGGAGAACAGGTTATGCAGAGGAAACACCACAAACAAACAGCACCAGAGTAGGGTCTCAGATATTGCAAATAGGTCAGAAATAGTAAAAAATAATTTTTAAACTCTATTGAATAGAACAAAGCCAACCACATACTCCTGTTAGTGTAGCCTGCGGCATCTGTTGATGATTTTCTGGTTCCTTGATCACACTGAGGTTTCTGCAAGCCAGTTGTCCACTTAATCCTTTGCCTTTCTGAATGAGGTGCTATTCAGTCTCTTCTGAATTCCAAATGAGTCTGTTGTTTGATTGGAAGTGGGAGGTAAGAGGATGGCACATTTACATTAATCACAATTTACTGGTTTTCAAAACTCAGTTTACAGGGTGCTCCCACTTCTCACCAGCGTCATCAGACTTGGGTCTCACAATAGGCGTGTGAGGTAGGCAGGGCAGTTATGATCATCCCACTTTGATGTTGAGGAAATTGAGGCTCAGAGACACACAGCAACTTGCCCAAGATCACACAACCAGTATAAATGTGGAGCTGGAGCTTGAACCCTGGGATGCTGGCTCCAGTGCCTGTGTTTTCTCCAGAGCACCAAAACATAGTGCACTGTGGGAGGCGGAAAGTTTCCAACTCTGGCTCCTGTGGCCTCTGGCAAGTTTGACCTTGCTAGGCCTCTGTGAGGAACACTGGGGTAAGAGTTCCCACCATATAGGGTTGCTGCAAAGAGCAAATGAGGTAACAGGCACTGAGTGTTAGGCACAGAGAATACTCCCACAATGGAATAGCATGTAACAGTCAAAATGAATGAACACAATGACAAGCAGCAATATGGATAAATCTTAGCAGCATAATATTAAAGAAAAAAGTCACAAAAGGTTACCTATAGCACTATATTATTTTAATATATTTTAACACTAAAAATTTAAAATATTTTCAGGAGTACATCTCGTATACTATAGTACTAAAACTATATACAAGGGAAAGCAAGGGCATGATAAACACAGTGAGATTGGGCTGGGGAGGCAGGAGGGCGAGATCATAAAGTTAGACCTAAGATAGTGTCAAGATCCTGGCTTTTGCTTTGAATGGTGGGTTTGTGGGTGCTTACACCATTATCAAAAATAACTATGGCCTGGCGCGGTGGCTCACTCCTGTAATCCCAGCACATTGGAAAGCTGAGGCTGGCAGATCACGATGTCAGGAGATTAAGACCATTCTGGCCAACATGGTGAAACCGTGTCTCTACTAAAAATATAAAAATTAGCTGGGTGTGGTGGCACGCGCCTGTAATCCCAGCTACTTGGAAGCTGAGGCAAGACAATCACTTGAACCAGGGAGTCGGAGATTGCCGTGAGCCAAAATGGCTCCACTGCTCTCCAGCATGGCAACAGAGCGAGACTCCATCTCAAAAAATAGACAAATAAATGAATTTTTAAAAATATGGCATGCATGGGCCAATGATGAGAGTATGTCATGAAGCAAGGATTAGGATTAATTTTTGTCCACCTGAGGTCCTATTTTTATGTATTTATATTTTGAGACGGAGTCTTGCTCTGTTGCCCAGGCTGCAGTGCAGGGGTGCAATCTTTGCTCACTGCAGCCTCTGCCTTCCGAGTTCAAGCAATTCTTCTGCCTCAATCCCCCTTCCCACCTCCCCCACCAGAGTAGCGGGGATGACAGGCATGTGGGTTTTTTGTTTTTTGGGGTCTTTTGTTTAGTAAAGATGGCGTTTCACCATGTTAGCCAGGCTGGTCTTGAACTCCTGACCTCAAGTGATCCGCCCACCTTAGCCCCACAAAGTGCTGGGATTACAGGTATAAGCCACTGCACCCAGCCATGAGGTCCTATTTTTTAAAAGAAGTAAAAGTGCTAGGCGCACTACCCATCATGTAGGAAGTGTTCAATACATGTTAGCTGTTATTATTAGATATCTTTAATATTATTAATGATATAACCCACATACCCCTAGTCAGAGGCTTTGCTGTGAGCCCAGGGAGGTTAGTGAGATGGGCCCTCAAACTCAGACATCTCAAAAGCAGAAATCCCCAGCCCTATCTAGGCCTCAGGCCAGGCACCTGACCTGGTGAATGAACAGCAGTTAGGGAATGGTCAGAGGAACTCACTGCTGGTTCCAGCAAGCTCTGCAGGTAGGGAACGCCTATAAGAAGGAGGCCAGAAAGTAGCTAGTGCTGTGATTGAAAACAAGCTCTGGAGTGAGGTCAAGGTTTGAATCAGCCTGCTAGCTGTGTGCCGTTAGACAAATGACTGTGCCTCTCTGAGCCTCACGTGGCTCATGTGTAAATAGCAAGTAAAAACAGAACCTACCTCACAGGGACATTTTGAAGAGTAAGTGAAGTAATCCACGCACAATGCTTAGCACAACATCTGGAACATCACTTTAGAGCTTGAAAATACTACCTGCTTTTACTATCAGGCATCCCAGACTACTCCCTGGGACTGCGCTGCTTCCCCACGCCATTTGTGAAGGAGACGGTGCAGGCCGCTGGATACGGAAACAGCTGCCATCTTGTGTGTGGACTGCGTGTGTGTGTCACAGTTTTCCACTTCCTCCTGGACCTATTTCCTTTGTGAGCTCAACCCGGAGGAATCCGCAGACAAAGGAACAATTCTGGGAGAGCCCAGTCCCACAGCCAAAAGCTATTTCCTCAGAAGCGGCTGTCCTTCCCCACTCCCTCCCGTGTGGTCTGGAAATGGCTTGGGGAGAAGCAGCTAAGGCTTCCCTGGAGGCTCAGAGCTGAGAAACAAAGTGCCCAAGTGAAGGCCCTCCTGGTGGAGGACAGGAACCTGGGCAGAGCTGCTGCGAGGAAGGCCATTGAGGATGCGGGCTTCCCTGAGCCTGTCACCCTCGCCTGACTCCTGGGAAGAGTGGCGCCCAGAAACTCCCCGTGACCTCCCTGTCTTCCTGAAATAACAGTACATCAGAGGCTGGCCCTCTACCATCTCTAATCATAATCCCTACATTTGCCAGCCTTTTCCCAGCCATTCCTCATTTCCCCCTCACACGAACCTGCGCATGGGCTTTCTAAGCCCCTTCTTACGGAAGAGGAAAATGATTCTGAGGGGGTTAAATAACTCACCCGAAATTACATCCTGGCAAATGGGAGGAGTCAGAGCCCAAACCAAGTCCTCTAAGTCCCGAATTCTTCCCACTATTTTTTGCCTTCTCCCTTTATGAATGCTTCTGTGTTTCTATCCTGTGGAGTCAAGTTTGTACTATTCTCTTAAGCATAAAAGGATATTCAGTTTCCTGCAATCGCTGTAATTAACACACACAAAAGTCTTCCAAGGTGACCTCACTACCCCTGCCCTCCCTCACACAGGGGCTATATTTAACTCTTGGAAAGCACTAAGAAAGGCATTGGCTTTGCAGCTGGGCTTTTTTTCCACCCCTTTGTCATTCTTTTCCAGCCCGCATGCACAGTGGGCTTCCCTATCCAAGCTGGGACAACAGGAAGTGTTTGTCTTAGTGATAAACAATGCGAGTCCAACCAGTGCCATCTCCTTCCACGTTCTGCCCACTGTTTGGCCTTCCTTTGGACTCAGAGAGAAGTGCCTGTAAATTCAGAGGGAGGAAGGGAGATAACCTAACGGCCCCAGCCGGGTAGATTTGCAACAACTTAGAAGAGTCTGTGGACAAGAAATCTCTTAAGAAGAGATTTCTCAACCCACGAAGTGAAGGGGCAGTTCTGCCAGCCTCACCTGAGGAGCTGGTGACCTCTCTGCAGAGTCAACCCAGAGCTGGACACAGACAGAAGCAGCACCCTGAAGGAAAACTGAGGAAGGCATAACAGCTAGATCCTCCAGTATTCTCATGTGTAAATGGGGCTAACCCACCTCGTTGTAAGACTTAATTCATATAAATAATACATGTAAATCACTTAACGCAGAGCATGACTTATAGCAGTAATGGAAGAGTAATAGAGATAGCTAATGTTTGCTGAGAGCTTACTGTGTGCCAGACACTGTTCAGGCACAGTCACATGTCGGGGCCAGTTCCTGCTGGTGAGGTAGATATGCTCACTTACTGATGGTGTACATGAGGCACGGGTACTTATGCAAGTTTCCCCAGAGGTACGCAGTTTGCAAATTGGGAAACAGGAATTAAATTCAGGTGGTTTAGGTTGCTCAATATCTGTTATCATTATGTCTCAATGTATATGTTAGAATTAAAACCCACCAACTACAAAAATGTGCGTCACTAAATCAATTGCCAGCTATATTCACGTGAGGGATACAAATTCAACAAAATAGAGCATTTGGGAGCCTAGCCAAGTGAAAAATCGGGCTTCTGCCTCCTTTTAAGTACTGGGAGTACTTTTCGTTGCCTGATTGTTTTTCTTTTTTTTTTTTCAAGCATCTCTTTACTATACTGAGCCACCATGAGGCCAGACATGGTTTTAAAATCACATTAACTGTTAGAGTTTATCAACTCTTAAATGAAAACAAAGTTTGCTCCCAGAATTTATAGTTCCAGGTATACTTAAATATTTGCCCTATGTTTGGCGCTAGCTAAAGCTGGCAATGCTCCTGCACTCAAGGAGCTCAGGCTCAAGTTGTGGAAAGTGACAGTCGTTAAAAAATACATAAGTAAATACAAAATCTCACCATGTGAAGTGTCACAGGGAGACATACTTGATGCTACCATGGCATAAAATGGGAGGAACAGTGCATTGAAGAGGACAAGGAAGGTATCCATCCCTGAGGAAGTCAGGATTGAGTAGAGAGCTAAAGAAGGTGTTACTGGCTGGCAGGGGAAGGAAGTTCTGATAGGCAGAGGGAACAGCTCATCAAAGTCCTGAGTTAAGAGGCTGAGGAACAGAGCGTGGGGACAGCCTGGAAAGAGGTCTCTCTAGAAAAGCCTGCAGGGCTTGAAAGTCATAGGAAAGGGTGCTCTTCCTTTCCTTCATCCTACCCAAGCACTGAGCTCACATCTGATCAGCATACTGCCTTTCTTTCCAGGGTGACTTGCCTCCCCTCTGGTATAATGGGTCATAACCCACTAATATGCTCACTTGTTAAAACACAGTATGCAGAAAGTTATCTCTAAAATCATGATCAAAAATGTTCAAAGTAATGCACTGGTTCTTTCTCCAGAACAGGAGCCTTTATGAGATGGAAATTGGGTCATTTTCCTTTGCATAAGAAAGGTAATTTGAGTAAACCACAAGAAAAATTGTAGACCCTTCACAGAACCACAGTCTCACAGCTTTCCTTTCTCCATTTTTAAATGGTGCTGGTTGCATTTACTCTGACTTTGAAAACAAAGAAGGATACGTGATCTTTGTGATCTCTGTAAAGAGGCTGGTCACATAGTGAGGTGGGGAAAAAAGAAGCTGTATATTTTCCTAACTGCTTTGCATTTAATGAATGTGTGATTTGCAAGCTGTTTCTAAGCGTTTTTGGACATTCCAGCGTCTAAAAGGTACACAGGAATGAGCTCATGAGTCCAAGTGCCCAGCATTAGGCCCAGTTTGACAGTAGCCAATACAGGGTTTATTATTCTTGTGGCTTGCTGAAATTTAATTCCTCACTTGTCTTTTGTTTTGAACTCATTATCTTTGTGATCTCTAAATCAATCCGACCTTCTGTGTGCTAGTGTCCTTACTGGCTGGGATAAATACCTCTTGCTTAAAGGTTTCACTCAGACTGCAGCAGGGATGTGAACCAGGTAGCAAATGGTAGTACTTTTTATGGTAGCTTAATTTCTACTATCTAACATCTTATTTTGATTTCAGTCATGTGGGGAGGAGTGAGGAGAAGATAGAAAGGTGATCTTACTCCCAGTTGGGTACTCACCAGGAACAATAAGGACTTAGCAGTCTAATCTTAGATATATTTTAAGTAGGTTTCTAAATTTATTTGAAAAACTTTCTTGCTACCCAGAGAATAATTATCCCTCATCTTGGGTTTCTGAGCCTCTCTGTCTCACTTAAAAGATTGAAAACTTATAAACAATGATTAGCCCATTTCTTCCTGTTGTATCTTGTTCCCATCATTGGAATTCACCTCCCTAGGATTCAACTAAACCAAGCAAGATAGATGGAATTTATTCGTGGTTCTTAATAAACTTGAGACATAAAGACAGTTCTGTCCTGATGCCCAAGTCTGCCCTCAGAAAGCACAGATGACCTGAACAGAGAGCAAAGACAGGAGAGAAGGGCAGCTTAGGAACTAGGAACAAAATTTTTCCTGACTAGGGACAGCAGGGACCCAGGATTCCTGGGTTGCATGACTGCCCCTCCCTCTAGAAGATATTTCCTCCTCACCTTGCATGGGGGGTGGTCGTTGGGATGTCAGCACCCTGAGGGAAGGAGCTCTGCCAGCTCCTTGTGCCACAGCCATCTGAAGCTCAGTGTCAGGGCCAGAGCCATGAATAGTCCACAGGATAAGGCTTGCAGAGTCCCACCATGCCCTCTTGTCCCATACCCTCCTCCTTCGTGCCTACCACTGCACCTGAAACTCCACGGGGCAGTCACAGATGAATGCAGAGAGCAGCCATTGAGTGCCTGAGCACCATACTCATCAGTTCATTTCATCTTCACCATAAGCTTGTGAAGCGGCTACTGTGATCACCCCCACTGTTTGCAGATGAAGAATCAGAAGGGTAGGAAAGTTTAGAAATTTCCCCCAGAAGCCCACAGCTAGAAAATGACAGAGCTGGAAGGGAGCCCAAATTGTGCAATCCTGTGCTCTTAGCCACTCTTCTATGACAAATCTTAAGCATTAAGCTTTGTGTAAGTATTATGTGAACTTAACACAAACTACTTTTCCCCCAACTGGCTGTGTGAATATCTAAGTCAAATAACCTCTTGGACACTCACTTGCTACATGTTTAATACAAGAGTGTTAGACTAGGCCCTCAAAATATTGTATTCATTGAGTAAATGTTCATTGGGAATCTGCTGCATACTGATTGAGGCGCAGACCCTGTCCTTGTGGAGCTTGTTACAACTATAGCATATCTGTTCCTAGTGCTATCTGATCAATACTTTGGAGTCTGCATAGTTCTGGGGAGTATTAGACAATAACAACAATGAAGAAACAACATGCAATATGGCTATCATTTCGTGAATGTTTGTTCGAGGCATGGTACCATGCAAAGTGCTTCATAAGCGTAACCTTACCTGGTTTTCCAAGCCTGTGCAGTTGGGATCCTATCATTCTCATTTTGCCTATGATGAAACCAGGGCTCAAAATTTCGAATGTGGCCATCATTCCAAAGCTCAGAAGTGGCAGTGCAAGAATGCCAGCATCCATGGGGGCAACCCCAAAGCCCTAGCCACTGCACTACTCTAAGCAAGACTCCATGCTCCATCTTTTATCATCTTCAAGGGCTCTTATTCCCACCTTGACTCTCAGTTATTTAGAAGAGGATATCTAAAGATAATTTTGTAAGGAATAGGAGAGGTTTTCCCACATTCCCTATGTTCATAGATGTCCTCTGTAGCATTTTTTTTCTGGTGGAGTATTTTGCAGAGGTTGAACCTTGGACGGCCCGCATCAGAGTCACCTGGAGTACTTGTAAAAATGCAAGTACCTGGATCCAGGATGGGCCTACCAAATTAGACTCTCTGGAAAGGACGTCTGGTATCGTGCATTTTCAACAATCTCACTGGAGGAGTCTTTTCTTACTAAAATTTGAGGCTCTTGTCTTGATGGTCTATATGAGCCCTAGCAGAAACACTTGTCATATGCCTTATACCCATATGACCTCTCCAATTTAAATTCTCTGATGTTTTAAATCTCTGTGGTTTGAATTCTGTAGCATTAAAGATGAAGCTGTCATCAAAATTCTGTATTTACTGTGATTGAAAGCTAGCTGCTTGGGGTGAGCTCTGTATTGTTCTGGAAGAGCCCAGCACTGGCTGAAAGGTTTCTTACATCCATGATGTATATCAGGTTTTCTCTGGGATGAGATCCCTGCTGTTAATTCAGGTATCTGCTTTGAGTGGTTTATTTTTCTTCTATGAGATCTTCACAGTTGAAGCTCTGAAGTTCAAACAGGCCCAGTGGGGAGAGGGCCTTCATGCAGGAATTTCAGCCCCACATGAAGGTCTCATCCACAGGTGAAGGTATACCCAGATAGGAGCCTCATGAAGTCATGGCCCAGAGTGCTCCACTGGAGGGCTGTGAGGAAGCCCAGTATTCACATCTGCCCACCTCCTCCCAGCCCCAGCCTGGCCTCCTGGCCTCTGCTGCACTGAGCTGGGCTGAAGTCTTCTGATGGAGCATTCAGGTGCAAGATCAGACAGGCAGTTCAAGGCCTGGCGTTACTGCTTACCAGCTGAGTAACTTCACTTCTCTGAGCCTCCATTTCCTCCTTTGTAGGGCATTGGAGGATTAAATGAGATAATGTGCATTAACTGCCCAGCTCAAGGTAACTGCTCAGCTCCAGGGAAAGACTGGCAGGTTCAGTGCAAGCTGCGCTTTGCATCATGGTTCCCCTCCCTCTGCCCCTGCTGCCTGCCAGATCTGTTCAGGTCACAGAAACCCCACCAGGACTGGACTGGCAGCCCCTCATTCTCCGTCTGCTTCTCTCAGATGCACTCAGTCCCTTTCTTCTGCTTTGGTCTATTTGAACTTTGGTGATCAAATCTCAGTTAAAGGAAGAGCACTTAGATGTCAAGGTCCGGCGTTAAGAATCTCATCAAAGACCAGGAAGGAAACAAAAAAGGTATTACAAAGCTTGGATGCTAAAGCTCAGGTTTTTCAATGCAGAGCACTCACACAGAACCTGCCCTTCTTACTTTAGAAAGGACTTTAACAAACCTTAAAGTAGAAACAGTATAGCATTTAGAAGCCAGAAAGCTGCCACACTTAAGCATTTACTGATAGCAACAAGAAATTGTTGGAACTTCACAGCAAAAAGAAAGAGAGACAGAAGGAAAGAAAGAAACAAAAGAAGAGAGGGAGGGGGAAAAAAGAAAGAGGAGAGTGGAGAGAGGAAGGGAGGGAAGGGGGAAAGGAAGGAAGGAAAAGGGTGGGGGGACAGATCAAAAAAACCCAAAAAGTTTAGCAATTAGTCATTCATTGGGGGGCAGCAGTTTTTAAAGCGCAGCTAGGGATGAGAGGGCTGTCTGGGGGCAGTCCCCAAGGTGTTTTCAGGGGTTTGTAAGGTCCAAACAGCTTCTATGTAGTACTAAGACATTATATACATTTTCGCTCCTGTTCTCTACAAGTTTACAGTGGAGTTTTCCAAGCACAACCTGTGATGAATTGGTAACTTTGAAGGCTAGTGGAATAAGTATCTGCGTGTTCTTGTGTTTCATAGATTTCTCAGTTTTAATGCTAATACAGTAAATATTGATAGATACAACCCACATAAAACAAAAGCAATTTGGGGCCCTCAACAATTTTTTTAAGACAGGGTCTTGCTCTTTTACCCAAGCTGGAGTGCAGTGGCAGAGTCAGGACTCACTACAACCTCTACCTCTCAGCGTCAAGCGATCCTTCCACCGTGGCCTCCTAAGTAGCTAGGACTACAGGCACATGCCACCACTCCCAGCTCATTTTTTATAGATAGTGTTTTACCATGTTGCCCAGTCTGGTCTCAAATTCCTGAGCTTAAGTGATTGGCTCACCTCGACTTCCCAAAATACTGAGATTACAGACATGAGCCAACACGTCTGCCCCAATAATTTTTAAAAGTATAAAAGGACCATGATACCAAAAAGTTTCAGAATGACTGGTATAGGGATAAACAGTCTAGTGCACCCCTGAGCTATAACATCCTGTGGAAAAGCAGAGAGATGTCATGTGAGTCGTGGCTGCAGGCCACAGGAGTGCTCCCAGGCCACCTGCGACTGCCTTCTTGCATCTGCTGTGGCCTCGCTTGTGAGTAGTTACGTATGAGAGAGTACACGTGTGTGTGTGTAAGAGGCAGCGAGAGAATGTTCATTGGGACAATTGGAACAATCTCTTATTTATTTTTTCTAATCCCTACCCAGGGGCCAGGCTGACACATAATTAGTGCCCAGCAAATGCTTTGGAATTGAGTTAACCAACATTTGGTGTGCTATCAGTCTGTTCTCACGCTGCTATTAAAGACATACCTGAGGCTGGGTAATTTATAAAGGAAAGAGGTTTAATTGACTCGCAATTCAGCATGGCTGGGGATCCCTCAGGAAACTTACAATCAAGGGGAAGCAAACATGTCCTTCTTCACATGGCAGCAGCAAGGAGAGGTGCCAAGCAAAAATGGGAAAAGCCCCTAATAAAACCATCAGATCTCATGAGAACGGTGCTGAGCAAAAATGGGAAAAGCCCCTAATAAAATCATCAGATCTCATGAGAACTCACTCACTATCCCGAGAACAGCAGCAAGGGGATAAATGACTCCATGATTCAATTACCTCCCTCTGGGTCCCTCCCATGACACATGGGGATTATAGGAGCTACATTCAAGATGAGATTTGGGTGGGGACACAGCCAAGTCATATCAGTGTGTCTGTTGAGGGCGCCAGAGAGGTTTGTGATTCCATTTGAAAAGATTTCCTTAAAAACAGCTAAAGTTTGGCTAAAATGATTTTAAATGATTACCTGCTTTAAAGAGGGAAACATATCCATCCAGAACACGTGTATATGTGGCATGGTGGGGGCTCAGGCCCTGGAGGCTGCAGGATCTCCAGGGACCTTTCACCTGAGCTCTGGAGGGGAGCAGCGCCCCCACCAGAGTTATGCCACTCTGATCTCTAGGGATCACACAGACTTGGAATCAGCCTGGCTCCACCTCTCAAGCTGTGCCACCGTCCCATAGCTGTCCCAGCCTGTGTCATCTTCTGAAAAATAGACATTGGCAGTCCCAAAAGGACTGCCCACAGATGTGTCCTGGGGATTGGATGGAAAAATGCACAGAAAGCCCCTCCCTCAGTGCCCAGCAGCTGAGAGTGCACATGAGATAGGAGCTGCCCATATCAGCCTTCAGCTCCTTGTCAACAAGTTTGGGGTGGTGATGGATTGCCACAGAGACACGGCAGCATCATGCTTTCCTAACAAGGATCACTATCTATACTCAGGTTTATATTTAAAAGAAGGTCCTAGTGTGGTCATCTGTTCATTCCTCTCTTGTCAGACACATGAAGAGCACCCACACTGAGCAGGCCCCAGACTAGATGATAAGGAAGCAGAGATTCACAGTCCAGTCCATTTCTCCTAGAGCCTCACAGCCTGCCAAGGGAGGCAGGCACTCAGGGATCAGCACAGATCAGTGCCGTAAATTCTTCATTGACAGCAAGAATAGCTGACTTGTGGTGAGCATTCGCTCTGTGCCGGGTAAGGCCCTTTGCATGCCTGGTGTCATTAATTCTCACAGCCACCCTGTGAGGCAGATGCTGTTATTATCCCCCCTGTAAAGGAGGAAACTGAATCACCCACAGGTTAAGTGATTTGCTAATGAATGATAGAGCCTGAATTTGAACCCAGGCAATCTGGCTCCAGGGCCTATTGTCTTCTGCATGGTGCTGTATCTCCTTCTACACCTCCAGGCCCTGCAGCTCCAGGTCAGTGTGTCCTGTTTCCTCAGGAGGGCCCAGGGTGGGGAACAGCACATGGAGTTAGGAGTCATGGCTGGAGCTGAAGTCCTGGCTTTTCTTCTTGCCTCTGTGCAACTTCAAGCAAGTTATTTATCTTCTCTGAGCCTTAGTGTCTTCATCTACAAGGTAGGGGTGATCATGAGACCTACCTCAAAACTTGTTGGTAGGAGCAAAACAAATACTGTGAGTCAGTATATCTCTGTGGTTAAAAGAAGTGAATGAAGAAAGCAGCTTCACTGTAGGCTCTGCTAGCTGTGTGATCCTGGAGAAGGTATTTATCCTCCTGGAGCTTTAGTTTCATCCTCCATATAATGGAGCTAATAAAATGCTTGATATGAGATTTAAATGAGACAATAAAATGTAAAAGGGCTGAACACAACTGATAATGATTGTTCAGCACAGGTTAGCTTCTATTATCATGCGTAAGTACTTAGTGGGTTGCAAAGCAGGACAATACTACTGTGATGAAGCTGCTCTTTGGCTCTAAGGCAAACCAAGTTCCAAGTTACTTTTTGGGACAGGGAGACATCAATGACATCATGATCTTGGCATGTCGCAGTCCTTTAAAGCACTCTGTGTTCTTGCAACTCAGCATGGTCCTGGACCACTAGCATCAGCTGCAGCTGGGCACAGGTCAGAAATGCAGAATCTCAGATCCCACCCCACACCTCCTGAACCAGAATTTGCATTTTGACAAGATCCCCAGGTAATTCTTACACACACTCAAGTTTGAGAAGCACTGGTGTCACATGGAAAGAAAGAATGGCAATGGTAGCATGGAGTGAGAAGGGTTAATGTTTAGTTTGGCTGTGGCCAAGGCACCGGAAACAGAAGGTTCCAGAGATTGAAGCACATGAACTGATGGGACAGGAAGGCTCCCTTTCCTGCCTGTGTCCTGGATGGCCAGGGGCTCCGGCCTGAGACCTGTGCTGAGCTTTGAGCTGCAGTGAGAAAGGACCCTGGTCCAGCAAAGTAGAGGGCAATTTGGAACAGAGGGAGGCCTGAGAGCCTCTGCTTGGGGCTGCCTGGGCTCAGCGTTGCCAGGTGAGCCTGGGGAGGTCCAGTCCTTGGGCCAAGGCCATCTGAGGTAGAATGGGGAGGAGACCCAAAGAAACACCACAGGACTACCTGAGCAGGACCCTCCCATGGGAGCGAGTAGACAGTGCTGGGACAGCTGAGAGCCCCCAGGTCTGCCTGCCCACCTGGACCTGCCCTCTCTCCCCTGCCACCCTCCTCTAGGTGGTGGGGGGCCAGGCTCCCAGACACAGAGCTGTGACTGTGCCCATCTGCCTTCCTCCGCAGTGCTGGAGCAGCTGCTCCCAGAGCTCACTGGGCTGCTCAGCCTCCTGGACCACGAGTACCTCAGCGATACCGCCCTGGAGAAGAAGATGGCCGTGGCCTCCATCCTGCAGAGCCTGCAGCCCCTTCCAGGTCAGCCACCAGCAGCCATCCCGGAAGAGCACTGCTTATGCAGGACAACAAAACCTCTCTTCACCCCGACTCAAAAACATGCAGGAACCGTCTGCCCCACCCCCACCCCAGGGGCTGCTGCAGGAGGAAAGCTAAGCGCTGGACACAGCCACCAATGCATTTTATGCATGCTCTTGCCCAGTGTCCTCCTCCGCCAGAGCCCTACCTCCCCACCCACAGCCCTGGCTGTGCTCTTTGTACTTCTCTACCCCCGCCCTCCACACACACATGCACATACATGATCTACAACACAAACACACACAGCCCCTCACACAACTCTACATGCTCCCATGCCCCACACACATCCACCACACCTGACACATGACACACACACAACCTCACATAAGCCTGGCAGCCTCAGTAATCTGTTTCCATGCTGGGCTTCTGGGCATCCTTTTACTTAGAGAAAGAGATCTTCAATAACATTGTAAAAACTAAAAGTTCGAAAACCAGTGAAATAATTTAGGACGTGAATGCATTTTGCAAACTGAGCACTGTGTCCCGTGTGGGCTAGAAATATGAGTGGGGTGGGGGAGACCTGACCCCTCCACCTTCACAGCTGGCATGTCCCCCTTCTTCCTCACAGCAAAGGAGGTCTCCTACCTATATGTGAACACAGCAGACCTCCACTCGGGGCCCAGCTTCGTGGAGTCCCTTTTTGAAGAATTTGGTAAGTGACCCTCTCTCAGCCTCAGCTACAGAGCCATCCCTCTCTCCCTGTGTATGTGGCAGGGTCCCAGGACTGCACTGGGCCTGGCTCTAACATCATTAATTCGCTTTGGGCAAGTCCTTGGCCCCTCTGGGCTCTGCCAGCTCTGAAAGTCTAATCAAAGTCTGCATGGGAATAGGAATTCATCTTAGAGATTTGAGGAGTGGTCAGGATGGCCATGCAGTCCAAAGAAGCCATGGCACATTAGGTTGTTTCCTTGCCGGCCACACCCAGGTGATTACCACCAGAGACACTGGGCTGAATGGTGCAGTGGCTCAGCAGAAATGAGAGCTTGCGTGGCTGCATGCAGAGTACCTGCTGTCCTAGCCCCTTCCTGAGGGAAGGCAGCCCTGTTCGACATAGAAAGAAAGCTACAGGCCTCAGCGAGAGAGTACTGGGGACTCATAGACAGGGAGCACATTGTGCCTTCATAACATAACCCTCAAAGATTTCCGAAGTACCATAACAAATATGATTTTATTTGATCCTCCCTACAATCCTAGAAGACAGGCAAGGCAGACATCATTGCGGCCAGCAAACAGATGAGTTTCAGACTCATAAGTCATTTGCTTAAGGTTATTAATGGAGGGGTGGTGGAGCCCAACCTCACACTCAGGCCTCCTGACCCCAAATCCAGCCCTCTTCCTCTGGGCTGGGCTGCTCATCCTTGGCTTTCTCTGCCCAATGGCCTAACCATGTGTAGACTGTGACCTGAGTGACCTTCAGAACATGCCGGAGGATGAGGGGGAGCCCAGCAAAGGAGCCAGCCCTGAGCCAGCCAAGAGCCCATGCCTGAGAAACGTGAGTCATGACCTGGGTTCCCATACCTCAGGGCCTCTGTCCCTCAGGAGGAGGCAAGGGAAGCTCTCCCCTTCATGCTGGGTGCCCTCCTGGCAGTTCCGGACCCTGTTGTCTCTCTCAGGTTTGGGTGAGGGCACAGGCAGCACTGTGTGAACATTTCAATGGCCTGTGACATGCTCAGTGTATGTTATTTTCCTTATTTCTTTTATTTTTTATTTTGCCACCTTCCTGACTGGGAAGTCACTGTTTGTGCTGAGCAGGGGGAATGTGGTGAACTTGGCTGTGCCCTCAGGCCCAAAGGACATCACCACTGCAACTTCTATTGCATAACATAAGCCAGGCTATAGGAAAAGCTCTGGACCAGGAGTTGGGTGACCTCTGCCTGCCCTGTGACACTGCTGTGTAGCCTTGGGCGAGTCGCTTTTCTTCTCTGAGCCTGAGTTTTTCACCTACAGAATGAAAGACTGGACCAGATGTAGGATGCCCAACCTTGGGGCCATGGAATTACAGCAAGGGGCTCATAATCGCAAGAAGCTTTGTCAGCTGTATAATTCATTGCCATCATCACCAGCAATGGTACCAGTCACTAACAACTTACTATGTCCTTTACATGCTGACAGCAACTCAGTGAGGTTGGCATGATTGTTATCCCCATTTTACAGATGAGGAAACTGAGGCTCAGAGAGAATGAGTGATATGCCCTATGTCCCACTACTCACATGTGGCAGAACTTAGCTGTAAAACCAGGGTTCCCCTGGCCCAGTCGCTCAGTACTCAGCCGCAGGTGGTCCTGCCTCACTAAAGAACAGGGTTCACGCTTGCTTGTCCTACCGCACCTCGTGTGTGTGCAGATGTGGTTACAGAGTAGTGCAGAGCTCACAGTAGCTTTTGGTAATTCTGTATGTGCTCCATAAAAAGTATGACTACTACTGTTTGGCAGTCCACAAAACTTGCAGACATTCCAGGGGAGCCCTGATGATTAAAAATTTGGGGTTAAGAAGCACTGGATAAATATGCCCTAGGGATTTGCCAGCTCTGAAATTCTATTAAAAAGTGTGGCTTCGCATTCAGACTGCCTCCTGCCTTCCACAAGCTCCTGCCTTCTTCTCCCTCAGCCTCCCTCTCCCCACCCTGCTCTGCTCCCCTAGCCCTCTTTTTTGTTCCCTTGCAGGCAGCCGACCTGCCTCCACCGCTCCCCAACAAGCCTCCCCCTGAGGACTACTATGAAGAAGCCCTTCCTCTGGGACCCGGCAAGTCTCCTGAGTACATCAGTTCCCACAGTAAGTTCTGGTCCCCTTGGTGGGGCTGGGGACTTCCCCTCCCTGAGAAGCCAGATCTAAGTTCCTCTGTGTCCTGCGGGAGCTGGAGCTGCAAGCCTGTCACCATCCCAACCATGTCACCATTGGCTGAGGAGAAGCTTCCCTGGGCACCTGGCCTCTTCAGTGACAGTCAGGGTGGACCATTGGGTGTGGCCCCAGGGGCTGGGGGCTTGGGTTCTAGTCCCAGATTTCTGTGGCCTTGGAAAATCCCCTTGCCCTCTCTGGATCTCGGTTCTTCCACCCTTAAAAAAAAGGAACCAGATACACCCGTGTCAGTGTGCTAGGAGGCAGCTCCACAGATGACCACCACTATACTGCTCCCCCTACTAAAACTGGCAACCCAAGCACTCCTCTAGAGTGCGTGGTGAAATCGTTTCAGTAGAATCACATCCTACAGGTGGATGCGGTTGTCAGGTCAATGCATAAAATAAAAAGCACGTGCTGGGCGCGGTGGCTCAAGCCTGTAATCCCAGCACTTTGGGAGGCTGAGGCGGGTGGATCACAAGGTCAAGAGATCAAGACCATCCTGGTCAACATGGTGAAACCCCGTCTCTACTAAAACTACAAAAAATTAGCTGAGCATGGTGGCGCGTGCCTGTAGTCCCAGCTACTCAGGAGGCTGAGGCAGGAGAATTGCCTGAACCCAGGAGGTGGAGGTTGCGGTGAGCCGAGATCGCGCCATTGCACTCCAGCCTGGGTAACAAGAGCGAAACTCCGTCTCAAAATAAATAAATAAATAAAAATAAAAAGCACGTGGTCTAAACCACAGGTTGTCAGAGTAGAGCGGGGGGACCCAGGGGTTCATAAGATGATGTAGGCAGAAAATATCAGAAGCTTTACTTCTGTTTAGTTCAACACATCTTTTAATAAATTCCATGTAAATGTTTTGTAGTATTTATAATCTGATAATAGCATATTTGTTAAAAAAAATTACATATAAGTATATAACATACAAAAATAAACATAAAGATATGTATATATTTTTACTAGGAGCTGGGTGCAATAAAATGATTTAGTGAGCACTGGTACAAGTTACCACTGAAAATCTCTTAACTGGCCATAAAGGAGAGCCTGTGATCTTTTCACTGGTCTCCTCCAGCACTGTAACACATGGATGTTCTTTTGAATGAAGAGCAGATGAAGTCACTTGTTTGGGTAAAAGGACTTAACATTACATATAAGAAACTATATGCTCATGTTTGGATGGCTCAGAATGAGTAGTTGAATTTGTATAAGATAACGTTTGTTTATTATGCTACTCTGTCATTCAGCAGCACAGTGAAATGTTCTCCAACCGCCAAAAAATAATCAAATAGATCTGTCTGTGCTGATGAATTCATTTTAGAATTGATCTAATCAATTCTAAATCACGAGGTCAGGAGATCAAGACCATCCTGGCCAATGTGGTGAAACCCCATCTCTACTAAAAGTACAAAAATTAGCTGGGAATGGTAGCGTGTGCCTGTAGTCCCAGCTACTCGGGAGGCTGAGGCAGGAGAATTGCTTGATCGGCACAGACAGATCAGCATAGACAGATCTGTTTGATTTGTCATTGAAAACATCAAACACAGAATACTGTATACAACAATTCCATTTGTTTTTTAAAATAGGGTACACACACACACCCATACACACATGCATACATCCATTTTAACAATTTTTTGAGGATATGCAAGGAACTATTAATAGGATTTTCCTGTGGGAAATTAATAGAAATATGGGTAAAGGGAACATATTTTTTCATTCATACTTTTGTGTTACTGTTTGTGATTTTTACCATGGGTGAATTTTTTTGTTGTGGTAAAATACGTGTAAGATTAACTATTCCACGATTTCAAACGGTCCAACAAGTGGCATTTAGTGCATTCACAGTGTTTGCAGCCACCACTACTTTCTAGTCCCCCTTCACCTCCCCAGAGAGCTCACTTCCCTCTCAGACAAGGCAGAGAAGCCACCTCCCAGAAGCAGCTGGAATCCTGGGGCAGAAGGAAAGGGAGGGCTTCAGGAAGGGCAGGGAACCCTGTCCAGGGAGAGCACGCCAAGCCCCTCAGGGAGTATCCTTCCTCTCACGCACAGCGTCCAGCCCTACCAGGTGTCTTAGCAATGTGTTCCCATGCCCCCTCACCCTTCCCCACATCACACTTTTAACCCTGACACCCCTGTTCACCTCCCAGAGATGTCCAGTGTCTGAGGCCTCAGGGTACCTGCTGGAAAGGCGAGCTCCAAGCCTCACTTGGGAGATAGAACTGGGTGTCCCAGTCACTGAGAATGTCAGTGCTGCTGCCCTCAGGAAACAGATGTGCAGGAGAGGCTAGAAGCCCAGAGCAGCGTTCTGAAGAGCAGTGTGCTATGAGAGTGAGTTGGACTGGGTGAAGGAAGGCTTCCTGGAGTGGGGGATGTGCGCCATCCCCTGAGCAGGCACTCTCAGTTCTGATCCAGGTTCTGTCACCAGCAAACTGTGTGGCTTGTTTCTTGTCTGTAAAATGGAACTGATATCTGCCTCCCCGCCTTGTGGGAATCAAAGGAGACAATCACAGTAATAACAGCTGGCATTTGTTTAGTGTGCTGTGTGTGCCAGGCGCTGTCCTGAGAATTGGCATGCATTGTACCACTAAGCCAAGGTGGGAACTGCTCAGGTCACTTTACAGATCAAGAATCTGAAATGAGGACTTTTCTTTTTGAGGTCACTCAGTAAATGATAAAGGTAGGATTTGAACTCAACTCTGAGTGATCCCAAAGTACATGCTCTTAACCATCTGAACCTCAAAGTAGGTTCCAGGGACTGCCTGCATCAAAATAACCTTTCTAAATAATTATTAAATAAATTTGTCCCATCTCATTGGAGTTCAATATAGTTTGTACGTATGTTTAGGATTTTCCTATTAGTCATTTTTAATGCAGATTGCTCAGCCCAGCCCACTCCAGTGAACCAGAATCTCTGGGGATACAGCCCAGGGGTCTGCATTTTCAAACAACTCCCAGGTGATTCTGACACAGAATACAGCTTGACACATCCCACTAACTCTGGCATCACACCGCACTACCTCCCAGCTCCAAATGGGAAGTTGTTGTAAAAATCCGCACAGATCGTTGCAATCACTATTATGTGCGATATTATCTCCTCTAGTCCAGTTCTTTCTTTGCAGTCCCAGAGGTTTAGAAGGTGAATGATTTTCACAAGAAGAGGGAGCAGATGTATTAGGAAGTGAGAGGAAGGGCTGAGGTGGAAGAAGATGAGAAGGCAGAACAGGGAGGGAGGTCTCAGCCCAGGCAGCTGGTACATCGCTCCCTGCAGTGCAGAAATCTGAGCTGTGACCAACACACACACACACACCAGGCACAATGCTATGCTCTGGGGTCACTGAGGAGGAGCTGACCACTCACTGCCTGAGAAAGTCAGAGGAAAGATCTTTGATCTGGGTCTTAACAGATGAGTAGAAGTCCTCAGTAGAAGATAAGAGAGCACAGGCAACAACATGAACACAGGCCGGGAGATATGATAGCCCAGCAGGGCAGTTTCTGGTGACAGGAGCAGAGGGACTATGGGGAGTTAGAACAGACGAGACGCAGGGAGGAGGCCTCATACCCTGGCCAGAGCTGCTCAGAGCACCTGCGGTCTCTTCCCTGAGGAGGAGCGTGGGTGTCAGGGTCTCCCCTAGTCCTGCCCCCCTGCAGTCTGCCTGCATTTCTCCAAAATACAGCTTTCTGACAACCCACAGATGGCTACAGCCCCGCCCACTCGATTGTGGATGGCTACTATGAGGACGCAGACAGCAGCTACCCAGCAACCAGGGTGAACGGCGAGCTTAAGAGCTCCTGTAAGTACCGGGCGGGTGTCCAGATGCTGGGCAGGGCTTCTGCCCTTGCAAGGAGCAGGACTTGCCCTGGTCCTTAGCGTGCATGTGCCCACCAGCCTCTGACCCAGGCCATGGCCTCCAGAGAGGCCCAAAAGCCCTTGTTTTGGGTGACCCCAGCACTCAGTGGAAAGACTACTGGAATGGGAGTCAGGAGGCCTGGACCTAACCCTTTCCCTGACTCTTAGTAACGGATCTTAGATGAGTCATTTCTTTTCGCTGAGTCTCAAGTTTCCTGATCTATAAAATGGAGATTTGCTGGGTTGTTGTGAGAATAACCAGAGACAAGAGATGTCAAGATGAAGGGGTAATGACAATAGCAGAAATTTATTGAGCATTTATTGGGTGCCAAACACCTGGCTAAACGCTGCCCATGCATTGGTCTTCAAATAGCCAGCTGAAGTAGGACTATCAATTATTCTGATCACTTAACTGACGAGGACACTGAAGCTCTGAGAAGGGAAGTCACCAAGTCACAACACAAGGGATAAATCAGCACAACACAGTGCAAAAGTAGGGGCCAGCCAGGTGCAGTGGCTTGCACCTGTAATCCCAGCACTTTGGTAGGCCAAGACGGGTGGATCACCTGAGGTCAGGAGTTCAAGACCAGTCTGGCCAACATAGTAAAACCCTGTCTCTACTAACAATACAAAAAATTAGCCAGGTGTGGTGGTGGGTGCCTGTATCCCAGCTACTTGGGAGGCTGAGTCAGAAGAATCACCTGAACTCAGGAGGCAGAGGTTACAATGAGCCAAGATCACACCACTGCACTCCAGCCTAGTGACAGAGCAAGACTCCATCTAAAAAAAAAAAGTAGGGGTCTTAGTTATTATCAGTGTCATGCCTTATGCCCACACCTTCCTGGCCCCAGGCCCCAGCACAGGGATGGCTTCAGAGGGGTGAGAAAGTGCTTCCCCAGGATAGCACAGTGACGAAACTTTCCCATGACGCCTGCAGACAATGACTCTGACGCAATGAGCAGCTCCTATGAGTCCTACGATGAAGAGGAGGAGGAAGGGAAGAGCCCGCAGCCCCGACACCAGTGGCCCTCAGAGGAGGCCTCCATGCACCTGGTGAGGGAATGCAGGATATGTGCCTTCCTGCTGCGGAAAAAGCGTTTCGGGCAGTGGGCCAAGCAGCTGATGGTCATCAAGGAGGACCAGCTCCTGGTGAGTGGTCAGCAGCAACCGTGTGCCTCTTGGCCTCACATGGACTTGCATACGGATAGGTCTCTACATACATGTGGATGTGTCTGCCTTGGGCATAACCATCTTGACTTTGTGCACAGAAGCTCAAAGTCGCCATGCTCCTAAGAGAACAGGACATTTCCCCACTGGAGCAGAATTTAAACACACACACAGCCTCTCTCTGTCTCTCTCTCTCTCTCTCTCTCTCTCTGTCTATCACTTGAGGTCAAAAGTTGGAGACCAGCCTGAGCAACATGGTGAAACCCCATCTCTACTAAAAATACAAAAAATTAGCCAGGCCTGGTAGTACGCACCTATGGTCCCAGCTACTTGGGAGGCTGAGGCAGCAGAATCGTTTGAACCCGGAAGGCCAAGGTCTCATGAGCCAAGATGGTGCTACTACACTCCAGCCTGGGCAACAGAGTGAGACTCTATCTCAAAAACAAAAAAAAAGACCTGATATAAGCTTTACCATGGTTTTTTTTTTGTCAAAAAAAAAAATTTGCCATTAAATCTGTGTTGTTTTTCATTATGCAAGTAAATGTGCTTATTTATAAAACTACAGAAAAACAAATGAAAAGTGATTTAAAAAATTACTGACCAAAGGTCAATAATGTCATTGACCAAGAGATAACCACTATTAAGTGTACACATTTCCACCCTCATTTCCATACATCTGTCTTTTATAAAAGGAATCCCCTATAACACGCATCGTTCTGTTACTTGCTTTTTAAAAAAGGGTTTTTTTATATTTACCATCTCTCAGCTTATCATGTCATGAAAGGAAAAGCTCCTTTAATTGCAAAGTAAGACAATGAACATAATTTCAGAAAGAGAGTAGCTCCTCTCCCCAGAAATCTGTTGACAAGCCTTGCTCAACATGTATGCATCTGAAACATGGCCTTTTCTCACTCCAGGGCAGCACTAGTCCAAGACACATGACAAACCTCTTTCCATTCCTACGCCTTCTGTATTCTTCTCGACATATTACAGTGGCTAGGACCTCCAGCACAATGCAAACAGAAGTGGGAGAGCAGACATCCTTGTCTCAGTCTAGAGTTCAAAAGGGAAGTTACTGTTAAGGCTGGTTATGGTGGCTCATGCCTGTAATCCCAGCACTTTGGGAGGCTGAGGCAGGAGGATCACTTGAAGCTAGGGGTTCAAAACTAGCCTGGGCAACAAGGCAAGACTCCATCTCTACAAAAAAAATTTTTTTAATTAGCCAGACATGGTGGTTTCCACCTGTAGTTCCAGCTACTCAGGAGTCTGAGGCAGGAAGATTGCTTGAGCCCAGGAGTTTGAGGCTGCAGTGAGCTGTGATCACACCACTGCACTCCAGCCTGGGTGATAAAGCAAGACCTAGTCTCTAAAAATAATAATAACAATAATTTACCATTAAGAATGACGTTTGCTGTCGGTTGTTTGTAGACGAAACTGTTCCTTGATGTTGCTGCTTTTTACATACGTCTGGAATCCATTTGCTAGTATTTTGTTCAGGGCTTTTGCAATTGTGTTACGAGAGAAATTAGCCTATAATTTTCTTTTTTCATAATGTTATTGTCAGGTTCTGGTATGAAGGTAATGCTGGCCTCATTACCAAAAAAAATGGGGCAGTAAGAATCATTATTCATAAACTATTGACTTGCCAAGGCCAATCCTCCATCTCTGCTAGAATTCTGTCTCCCAAGTTCCTGCCAGGTGGATTTTTAACTGGCTTCCTCCCAAGCCAGCCCATTTCTTCTCTAGTTCTTTAGGCTAGCATGGTGTTCCTAGGATTGTGCTACAGTCTGCCTCTTCCCAAATAGGTAGTTGTGACTAAAGATTACCCAAAGATGCCTCTTCCCACCAGGCTTCTCTTCCAGGGTGAATGGCCTGGACCCTTCAGCTGTCCTCACACAGTACCCATGGCCCAGCTGGGTGGTGGAGGTCTCTAAAGGGAGGTCGGGCTTCCCCCGGAGCCTTTGTGTGAGGATGTCTCCCTCCTCTACCCTCTACTTCAGAAGATCCTGATGCTTTTCTCTCCCTGTGCAGTGTTACAAAAGCTCCAAGGACCGGCAGCCGCATCTAAGGTTGGCTCTGGATGCGTGCAGCGTCATCTACGTGCCCAAGGACAGCCGGCACAAGAGGCACGAGCTGCGTTTCACCCAGGGGGCTACTGAGGTCTTGGTGCTGGCACTGCAGAGCCGAGAGCAGGCCGAGGAGTGGCTGAAGGTATGTGGCCTGCACTTGACCTTCCCGCCTTCCCACCCTTTCTCTCTTCCCCAAGCCAGCCCTCAGTAGAGCTGGCTCCTGTCCCTGGAAGAACTCTTGCTCAGTACCTGAGCCCAAGTGTCCTGTGCGTGGATACAGCTTATGTATGGAAATGGGCCTCGATATCTCCAAGAGGCAGACTTCATGCTGGAAGCATGTGTTCCTTTTAGTTATTTGAATTCCCTTTCCAATCCTTACTGTGAGCTTGTTCAGTCTGCCCTTGTGTACTTCCTGGAACTGGGAACTTATTATCTACAAAAGAAGCTGATTGCATCATTAGACAAGCGAAACAACAAAAAAATCCTTCCTTGCCTGAAATGTACATCTTGTAATGACCACCCATGGGCCAGCTTCTGCCTCTGCAGCTACATGGAACAATGAGAGTTACCACGTAATGAGCACTTACTTTGTGCCATGCATTGTGCGAAGAACTTTACAGGCATGACCTCATTTATGCTTCAAAATGGGACAAAAATATCATTGTTCCCATTTCACAGATGAGGAAACTAAGACACAGCTTTGAGAACGTATGTGATTTGCCAAAGGCCACACAACCAAAGTGGTTGGAGCATGGATTTGAAGCTAAGAAGTAAATCTACTCCAAAGGCCATAGGCAGGAAGCCATAGTGATGACATGGGAGGAGGGACTTCGTGGCACCCACACTTGAGTTCAAGCCCCAGGCCTAAGTGGCAATTACTGGTTGTGTGACCTTCTGCAAATGACTTTGCCTCCCTGTGCCTGTTTTTTTCATCTGTGAAATGGTCCTTGGAAGGATTCTGGAGAGCACTTGGCACAGTGCCTGCCAGGCAGTGAGCGTGTAGTAACTGTCAGTAATTACCGTCGGATGACAGTGATGCCCCACTCACATTCCCTTATCCCTGCACTGCCTCTACTTCACTCTGACACCTCCTGTCTTCCTCTGATCTTCCTGCTGGAACAATGAAACCAAACACCTCCTTCCCCACCCAGCCCCTTCCTTCCTGTGATAACCGGCCCTCCTGATGGAACATTTGGTGTTTCTTTTGTCTCAGGAGGGAAGGAAGGGAGAGAACCTGCCTGCTGGGGGAGCCTGTACACTACAGGGGCTGGTTGGGTCAGCACACGGAGCCCTAGACTGGAGTTAAAAGAGACCTGCCTTGACATCGATCCTGGGTGGCCGTTAGCCCAGAGGCTAACAGTGGGCAGCCGTCCTGCCTGCATTTAGTTCCTGGCTCTGCTGCCCGCTAACAGGTGGCTTCCCCTCTACAAGGCTCATCATCCTAAGCTGGAACTCGGGGCTCACAAGGCTGCTAGGGGATAAAACGAGATAATCCACAAAGAGCCACCAGATAAGTGAGCAACAAATGGTGGCTGTGATTATTTCCTGATCTCATGCTTATCGCTGTGTGGCCTTGGCGAGCGAGTGGATGCCTTTAGGAGATGGAGGTGATAACTCCAGCCACCCTATAGGTTGCTATAAAGGTGCACATGGTCACAGAAGCAGGTCCCTCACCCTTGTGAGGCTTTATGGCTCCCATCACTCTTCACATCCATGGTCCCACTGTCTTCAGGTAACCCAAGGAGGGAAGCAGAGGACTAGTATCATTCCCATGTTACAGATGTGGCCACTAAGGCCCAGAGCAGGGAAGTAGCTCTTCCAAGACCACACAACTAAGTAGCAATAAACCTCTTGGTCCCTATCCTTGTATCTTTTCAACCCAGGGGACAGATATGGGAGAAAGCCTTTACAAACCCTGATGTGCCCCACACACGTGCAGGGGTTGTGTCAGCCCATCTCTTCCCCACAGTGGCCCTGACCCTCTGTTCTATGGCCTTCACCACATAAACCCCATTCTTCCTTTGTATCCACAGCTTTCCTGCCCACCTGTTCATAGCTGTGTGTCCTCTTCACAGGTCATCCGAGAAGTGAGCAAGCCAGTTGGGGGAGCTGAAGGAGTGGAGGTCCCCAGATCCCCTGTCCTGTGCAAGCTGGACCTGGACAAGGTATATCTGTCTGCACTAGGTCTTCCCGGGGCCAGGCAGTGGCCACTTAACACTGGCTCAACCCAGGGGAACTCCCTGGCTGGGGGGAAAGCCAGGCACCTGCCAAACTATAGGTGCCCAGCACAGAGCTGGCATAACTGTAGGTATTTAATAAATGTCTCCTGAATCCATGAATGCATGAACAAATGAGTGCCCATGCCCAAGGTGCAGTACAAGCCAGAGAAGAAGTGACTCACCCTGCCAGGACAGGAGGAGGTCACATTTCAATTGTGCCATGACAAATAAGTTGAAATTTGTCAATTAGAAAAGGAGGGTGTATAATCCCGGCACTTTAGGAGGCCAAGGTGGGCATATCACTTGAGCCCAGGAGTTCAAGACCAGTCTGGACAACATAGTGAGACCTCATCTCTAAAACAAAAAAAATTACAAAACAATTATCCAGGTGTGGTGGCATGTGCCTTTAGTCCCAACTACTCAGGAGGCTAAGGTAGGAGGATTGCATGAGCCTGGCAGGTGGTGGCTGCAGTGAGCCATGATGGCACCACTGCACTCCATCCTGGGCAACAGAGTGAGACCCTGTCTCAGAAAAAAGAAAGAGAAAGAAAAGAGAGAGCGAGAGAGAAGAAAGAAAGAGAAGGAGTGTGCCTTCTCATGTTTGGAAGATGAGAGAAGCAGGCATTAGCCAGTTGTTCAGGCTGTTGGCAAATATGTCCCAGTGCCTGCAGATTGCCAGTTATTGTGGGTAACAAAGGGCCCTGGACCCAAGTCCTCCCCTTAATGAGCATGACAGTCGAGGCGAAGGCTTAAGACCCACCGACACGCCTTACATGATATAATCAAGGCTAGTATTTATAGATTGTGACTGCATGCGCTGCAGTGTACTAAATGCTTTACGTGTATTAACTCAGGTGATTTCCATAACAACTCTCTGGGTAGTTACCTTTTCAGGGGAGAAAGCTGAGACAGAGATTTGCCCAAGGTCACATAGTAAATCAGAAACGTAGCCAGGATTTGTACCCAGACACTGTAGTTCTTGATGACTGTGCCACGCCACCTCTTAAGGCCAGGATCCTGAGCACCTGATTGACAGGTACTTGTTGAGTATCTGGGGCACTCCAGGAACTGTGCTAGCCACTGAGATGCAGTCTAAACACAAACAGAGGCAAGCCCTGCCCTCGCAGCCCTTCCAGCCCAGTAGGAAGCAGGCATGAATCAAATAGTCACACGGACTTATAAATGGCAAGCTGTGTGAGTGCTAGGAGGGAAAAGTACCAGGTACCCTGAGAGTGTGTGTCAGGAGCCCTGCTCCTGCCTCAGAGCTCCAGGAAGGCTTCTCTGAGGAAGTGACATTTCAGATGAAGATGAAAAATTAGCAGGGAAGGGGAGGGAAAAGGCATTGTAAGCAGAGGGAAAAGGCGCAGGAGCAGGAAGCCTGGAAATGAAAACAGCCAGTGTGGTTGAGTTCAGAGAGAAAGGAGAGTCCACCAGCCTATTAGAGTATCCCAGAAAGCTACAATGAGTGGAACAGGGGCTCACGCTGGCTGTAGGGATGACAAGGGTGAGGGAAGATGGGAACCTATGTTGAGTCTTGAAGCACAGGCAAGATTTCACTGAGGTAGAGGTGGGCCGAGGGGAGGAAACAGAAGCAAAGGTATGGAATCAGGCAGAGTCACCGGGAGTGGAAGATGGGTATTCATGTGCCCAGGCTGCAGGAGAAGCTCAGCCCTATCCTCATTTAGCCTTTGCCATTAGTGAGGCCAGAGGGAAAGCAGCGTTGACAGTGTCAGTGTGCATGAGTGTGTGTGCACACACTTGCCAGTGCATGCTGTGGTGCAGCTTGGAGGATGTGTAGAGGAAGAGGTAAGCTTGTAGAGTTGAGCTTTCCTGTGGCTGAGTGTCCACGGGGAGGGTAACTAGAATGTTCAGGGTGTTATTTTGGGTGGAGAGTGAGGGTGAGGACATGATATTGGTGGGTCTGTTTCTCCATGGAATCATCGAGTTAATTCCAAAGGGCTCCCAGTACTTCTTTGTATTTATTATCTATCTTGGTGAAAAACTTGCCATCTCTACACCATTGCAGAACACATGGAGCCATAACTTCTGTTTCACAGTTTGAAGAGGTGATTCTTTATACTTGATGGTTCTGTCCCCTTTCTGACAAGTGTCATGTTTGAAGCCCTTCGGAAATTGAGAGGAGTACATGCTCTCCTGTTCTCCCTGTTCCCCTGGTGCTATGCTGATGGTGAAGCATCCCTGATTCTGATTTGAGAGGATCTTGGTAGGAAAGGCTTTGGGACCTCAGAGCTCTGTAATTCTACCTTCTTAGGTGGGTGGATGTCATTTAATCCTGGTCCAAGTGTGGCTGGCACAGTTTAGCTTCTTGCAGAAAGATGGCAGCACACCACACAGGTATTGGAAATGATACAGTCAGTGGGCCTTCACTTGGGCTGGCTCCCTCACAGCAGCCCTCTGAAGTGGGTGGAATTCAAGTGAGAAAACCCAGCTTTGAGGGGATAGAAGGACTTTCCCACATTTCCGCAGCTAGTAAGTAGTAAAAGAGTCATCATTGCTTCCACTGTACACCCCATGGTACCTAGTATACGTGGGACCTTGTGTGAATGAATTGATAAATGGTCTAGAGTTGGTGTAATGAGTAAAACTAATTTGGGCTGGCAGTGAAATTGTTGACATGTCATGTGTGGGTGTGTGGGTATGTGTTCCCTTCCCATCCTCTCCTCCAAGTTAGGATCATAATGGACTCCAGATGAGCTGGCAGACATCTTCACAACAGTCAGGTCCCGCCAAGACGGTTTTGAAAATGTCTGCCAGCTCATCTCTTTTTCTCCATCCTCACTGTCACTTGGTTCATGATCTTGTTGAGTCTCATTATGACAAGGATGACGCTCTCTTTTATTATTATTATTATTATTATTATACTTTAAGTTCTGGGGTGCATGTGCAGATCATGCAGGATTGTTACATAGGTATACACGTGCCATGGTGGTTTGCTGCATCCATTCCCCCATCATCTACATGAGATATTTCTCCTAATGTTAGCCCTCCCCAATTCCCCCACCCCCTGCCATGCCTTCCCTAGCCCCCTCACTCCCCAACAGTCCCCAGTGTGTGATGTTCCCCTCCCTGTGTCCATGTGTTCTCATTGTTCAACACCCACTTATGAGTGAGAACATACAGTGTTTGGTTTTCTGTTCTTGTGTCAGTTTGTTGAGAATGATAGTTTCCACCTTTATCCATGTCCCTGCAAAGCACATGAACTCATCCTTTTTATGGCTGCACAGTATTCCATGGTGTGTATGTGCCACATTTTCTTTATCCAGTCTACCATTGATGGGCATTTGGGTTGGTTCCAAGTCTTTGCTATTATAAACAGTGCCACAATAAACATACAGATGACACTCTCTTAAGTGGCTCTTTTGCTTCCAGTCTTGTCCCCTCTTGTCTATCCCCACAATGCCACCAGAAGTAACTTCCTAAACCAATTTGGTTTACATTAGTGTTCCACTTACTTTCCCAGCTCCCTGTCACCTGCCAAATACAGTCCAAATTCCTAAGACATCCATCTCAAAGTGTTATAATTAATTGCCTCCCTCACCAAACGGACTGTGAATTGCCCAAAGACACAACTATATCTAAGTTATGGTTGTCTTCCCAATACCTGGTATTGTATCAGACACAGGATAGTTGCTGACAAACATTTGTTAGCTAATTATCATGTGCTGGGGAAGTTGGAGGAAGATTGAACCAATAAAGGAACATTTGGGTACTTCTGAATGTGCCCTCTGATGGGGGACTGTCTGTGTCCCTCCTCAGAGGCTGTCCCAAGAGAAGCAGACCTCAGATTCTGACAGCGTGGGCATAGGAGATAACTGCTCTAGCCTTGGCCGCCGGGAGGCCTGTGATCACGGTAGGAGCCTCTGGGGGCTCAGGCTGGGGAATGCTGGAAGTGGGAGGGGCCTTGCCCATGGGCATACAGCGGCAGAGCAGGTTCCGACCACTCTGGAGACCTGGGTAAGGTGACCTGGCCTGCCGTACCTGGAGCTGCAAGTCCATCCCTGTGTGCAGGCTGAAAAGGCCATGGGGAAGACTAAGAGTGGGTGGGACCTGGAGCTCCCTCTACTGCCCTGACCCATTTTCCAAACAGGCAGAGGGAAGAAGAGCAGCCTGGCAGAGCTGAAGGGCTCAATGAGCAGGGCCGCGGGCCGCAAGATCACCCGTATCATCAACTTCTCCAAGAAGAAGCAACTGGCTGATGACCTGCAGACGTCTTCCGCCGAGGAGGAGGTTCCCTGCTGTGGTGGGTCCAGGGCACAGGGAGGAAGGGTGTTCAGGACCTGTGGGCTCGGGCTTCTGGGGCTGAGGCCAGGAGACCTCATGCGTCATCCACCTCACCCCCAGGGCTGGGGAGAGAATCCCAGCCTACTAGGAGGCTCAACCCCACTCCATTCACACTCTAGGCCTTCCCGTCACTTCCCTCCCCAGAGGCCCTGACACTCAGCGAGAAGAAAAGCCCGCTGACCACTGTATTTCTATGCTCCCTGTGACCTTAGCCCAAATCACTGCCCATCTCTGGGCCTCAGTTTCCCAGTTTACTATAACAAGACAGGGGTATCTTATTTCCCAACATAGGGCATGCCAGGTGTATAAGTTACAACCCATCTTATAGGGAAATTTGTTGGAGAAAAATATTTAGGTACTTTTTGTTATAATGCATTCAATGTGAATTAAAAGTGATTTGAAGGGGAAAACATTATTTACTCACGTAAATGTAGTGTTCCATGTACTGGAATCCAGTTTTCAAAAATCATATTTTGGATATGCAGTAATATTCTAACCCTGAAAAAAATATTATAAAAGTACATGGCAGGGCCAGGCACAGTGGCTCACCCCTGTAATCCCAGCACTTTGGGAGGCTGAGGACGGAGGATTGCTTGAGCCCTGGAGTTTGAGTCCAGCCCAGGTAACATGATGAAACCTTGTCTCTACCCAAAATACAAAAATTAGCCAGGCATGGTGGTGTATGCCTATAATCCCAGCTACTTGGAAGGCTGAGGTGGGAGGATCACTTGAGCCCAGGAGGTCGAGGCTGCAGTGAGCCATGATAGAGACACTGTATTCCAGACTGGGTGACAGAGGGAGACCCAGTCTCAAAAAATAAATACACAAATACATGGCTACAAAGAAATATTTTGTAATCAGCGAATCAGAATCTGTTATGGCAAAAATAAACAAATTTAAATCTAAAACATTATGAGGGAATTCCAAACCTGTGGGTCATTAGCTATATAGCAGCTATGCCTTGGTCAATTTTAGGATTATGTAAGCGAGACATTTTTGTTCCCACACGCTGCCACTGGGTGTCAGCATCATCCATTATTTTCCGTCTTTCAGTAACAGTTTTGATTTGATGAGAAAAGCAAGAGTTGTGTCTTTTATTTATCCTATGCAGTAGTTCCTGCCCTTTTCATGAAGCTTGGTATAGTCCAAAGGCTGTGCAGAGATGTATGAATGCCATTAACAGTCTGTATTTCACAGCTAAGAAACAAACTCAGAGAAAAGCAGGCCCAAGTCACCAGAGGTCACAGGGGAGAGACAGCTGACCGGGACCCCAAGACCTTCTTTCCAGCAGACACATGCAGCCACCTTGCATCCCCATGCTGTCCCAGCGCAGGCTGTGGGAACATCACGCCACTGTCTCCTCCAGGCTACCTGAACGTGCTGGTGAACCAGGGCTGGAAGGAACGCTGGTGCCGCCTGAAGTGCAACACTCTGTATTTCCACAAGGACCACACGGACCTGCAAACTCATGTGAACGCCATCGCCCTGCAAGGCTGTGAAGTGGCCCCAGGCTTTGGGCCCCGACACCCGTTTGCCTTCAGGATCCTGCGCAACCGGCAGGAGGTGGCCATCTTGGAGGTGAGAGGAGATGGGGGAGGCGGGTGGTGCTTGGTCTGGGGACTCTGGCCTGAGTGTTGTGTTTTGTGTGAGGGAGCCCTTGCTACTGACAGCCCAGGGACTGAAGGGGAAGGAAAGCAAGCCCCATTCCTGTCAGGTGACCCGAGTAGGATTATAAGACAACATACAGGACACCCACTTAATTTAAATTTCAGGTAAGCCACGAATATTACCTGAAACGTTTTCATAATAATATAGATATGTCCCATGCAAGATTGGGGCTTTATCAGTACTAAAATAGTATTCGTTGTTCATCTACCATGCAAATTAAAATAAACATTCTGTATTTTATTCACTAAATCTGGTAGCCCCAGAACCAAGGTTTGTTTCTTCTCCCTTACCTTAAAATCTCAAGCCTGAAAGGCACCTAGTCTGGTGTAACCCATTCACATTTTGGAATCTCCTCTACCAGACCTTGTACCAGTAGCCTCCTCTGGTGAAGGAGGAGGTCCACTGCCCCTCCCATTGAGCAATTCAAATTTTAGAAAGATTTTCCCCATACTGAGTTGAAATCTTTAAGCTCCAGGAAGGCAATAACCAGTCCTATTTTGCATACTTTTGTTTTTCCAGAACTCTGCATGATGTCCAGCACTAGACTACTATAGGCTCTAGTAATATTTGTTGAACAAATGAGTAAATGAAGTGTGATTTCATTTCACCAATTCACTCTCCTTCTTACCCATGGACTAGCCCTCCTCTCTGAGGTCATGCAGAATACGTGGATGCTCTCTTCCACATAGCAACCCTTTGGCGATTTAAAATTTAAAATGTTAACACTAGAGGAAAACAAAAAACTACCTTCTCCCATCACAGATAAGGAAACTGAGGCCAGGGAAGCCACACACTTTATCCAGGGGTCCACAGAGGGCCAGTGGTTTCTTGGTCTTGTCCTAGAACCTGACCTCTTGCTCTTGTTTTCTGCCCAAGACCCAATGCCTCGCTCAGTTCTTAAATTTCAAAAAAGACTACCTCTCTAACTCACTTTCATTTTTTGTAGTTTGAGATGTCTCTTATACATGAAGCTTTCTAACAAAAAATGTGCTTTATTTATTGAAGTTTAGCATTTGTGTGCTAATTTGATTTTATAAGATGTTCTTTAAGTGAGAATTAACATAAGTCTGTGTTTAGTTGACTGTCAACTTCTTGGAGATTTTTGAATACACAGTACTTTAATTATTTGGCAATTATAACACAAGGAAAAAAATGATTGAGTTATATAAGAAATTGCCTTTTCTAATAAAAAGTAAATAATTTTTAAAAATTCAGAGAACACTCAATGTTGGTTTTATATCCTAATGGTTGGGAAGGCTCTGAGAATGGAAAGTGAGGGCAGGGAGACCTCTGTCTTAGAGAGGTCATCAGGGAGGGCCTCTCTGAGGAGGTGACATTTGAGTGGAAACCTGAATGGATGGAAGAAGGAAGCTTCTTGAACTTCTAGATGTGTACTATGATCTTATTCCTCTTTGACCCCTGAGTATCGGGTACATAGTCAGTACTTATAAATATTTCTGGATTTGGCTAAAGTCAACAGATCTCCAGAAGTCCTGACTGTATGAAAATGAACTCCACCTTTGCCTCCTGTCCTTCAGGCAAGCTGTTCGGAGGACATGGGTCGCTGGCTTGGGCTGCTGCTGGTGGAGATGGGCTCCAGAGTCACCCCGGAGGCACTGCACTATGACTACGTGGACGTGGAGACCTTAACCAGCATCGTCAGTGCTGGGCGCAACTCTTTCCTGTAAGGGTCAGCTGCACCCGCCACACTTGCCCAGGACCTTTCCTGTCTCCATCCCTCTCAGAGGCTGAGTCCAGCCCTGGGCACTGGGAGGGAAGGGAGGAGCTAAGGAAAGCTCTGCTTCCTTGGGAAGTTGGAATGGGTGTCTTCCTCTTATAGTAAGGAGTGGGGACCTGGCTGAAAGAGGTGGCCCAGGGTCAGAGGCAAGCTGCAAATGGAAGGAGAAAAAGTAGAGAAGCCTTGAAGTAGCGGCCTGGGCTCTGCCCTCATGCCATGGGACTTTAAGCTTTCACACACTTGAGCATGGACACGTGGCTAGTATATGGCATTCTGTACTAGAAGAGCCAGATTCGAGTCCCAGCTCTGTCACCACCAGCTGTGGAAGCTTGCGCTGGTTGCTTGCCATCTAGGATCTCTGTTTTCTGACTCATAGAATGGTGGTGATGAATTACCTGCCTTGCACGTTGAATGAGAATCACATTGGTCCTGCCTATGACGCCCTAACACAGCCCAGGACACAATGCTGCCTGTTATCTTGCTTTTGTAATCTTCCAACCTGCCTTAAAGTTTCTGCCAGAATCAATGAGAGTGTGGACAGGAAAGTATTGTAAGCTGCAAAGCATCATTGTCATTGTCATTGTCCCTTTTATTTCCTAGATATGCAAGATCCTGCCAGAATCAGTGGCCTGAGCCCCGAGTCTATGATGATGTTCCTTACGAAAAGATGCAGGTAAAATTTCTTGGGGTTGCCCAGGAATGTGGCAAAGGCTACTTTAAGCTCTCCCTCTTTCTGTTCCCTTTATCTTCTGCCTCGGAGAGATCCTTTTCACTTAAGCAGCAGCAGCTAGAAGGGGAGCCCTTCTTATGATAGAGCATGGCTCAGGATGAGGAATCCCTGGCACAGGAGGCTGGGTGGTACAGTGGAAAGAGCCCCAGGTTGGGAGGAAGAAAGGGCTCTGTAGACTGTCAAGCACTACAGAAAGGTGAGGCATCGTTTCCAGTTTGAGCAAGATGATGGGGCCCTCCTCCTATTTATCACTCTGAACTTATCCTACTGATTCTGTGGTGTCTGGGGCAAATGCTGACTGTGGGGCCTGCGCAAGCCTTTGCATGGTCACCTTCATAATCTGGGAACTTCAGCTCCCAGGCCAGTCTCCATGTTTTGCTTGCCAAACCAGGGAGATACCAGCGTATTAATTTACAGTGAGTCCTGTGTAGCCATCGCATGACCTGGAATGCTCTTGGCAGCATGCCCTGTACTGTCTCCTCCCTCAGAAGGCAAGAGGAGAGCCACATTCCAGTCAGACGCTGGTGGGTGGGTCAGGCCTTACAGCTAGCAGGAGAGAGGCAATTAAGCTGCCTAGGACAACACATGTGTCTGCAGACAGGGCCTCCGCCTTGGATGGTGCTGGATGACACACTGAGTTTTCACCTCCAGGACTCCCTTTTCTAGAAATTTCTCCAGTCATCTTTCTGTTCATATGGTCTCTCTTCAGAGTGAGATAAACCTGTGGATGTAGCTTGAGGTTTTTCTCAGTTGCAGAGTTTAGTAACAAGACAGCTTAGCACTTAAGGACATAAAAGGTTGGAGACCCAGACTCAGGGCTAGGACCGAGTTTCACTTCTCTGGTCCTCACTAGCTGACTCCAAAAGGATATGATAAAACCCACCTTCTTGGATGGCTGCAAGAATTAAATAATACTTTAAGTAAAAAAGTTTAGGTGGGGGCTGGATTCAGTAGCTCATGCCTATAATCCCGGTATTTGGGGAGGCTGAGGTGGGAGGATCACTTGAGGCCAGGAGCTCGAGACCAGCCTGGCCAACATGGTGAAACCTTGTCTCTACTAAAACAAAATACAAAAATTAGCCAGGCATGGTGGTGCATGCCTGTGGTCCCAGCTACTCGAGAGGCTGAAGCAGAAGGATCACCTGAACCCGGGAGGCAGAGGTTACAGTGAGCCAAGATCATGCCACCAAACTCCAGCCTGGGCAACAGAGTGAGACTCTATCTCAAAAAATAAACATTTAGGCTGGGTGCAGTGACTCATACCTGTAATCCTAGCACTTAGGGAAGCTGAGGTGGGTGGATCACTGAAGCCCAAGAGTTTGAAACCAGACTGGCCAACATGGCGAAACCCTGTCTCTACAAAAAGTAGCTGGGCATGGTGCTGTGCACCTGTTGTCCCAGCTACTTGGGAGGCTGGGGTGGGAAGATCACTTGAGTCTAGAAGGTTGAGGCTGCCATGATCACACCACTGCACTCGAGAAAAGAAAAAATGATCATAGTGTCTAGACATTGGAAAGTTATTTATACAGAGGAGTAAATAATAGTACTGTTGTTGACAACATCATTATTTTATTACATTATTATCATTTCTAAACTCATGGTTTCCTAAGCTTTGACTGGATTTTTGGTGTTCTTAATATTCCTCATGCTCAAATGTATAGTTGGTCTATTAAATTATGTCACTTCTGTCACTGGCTGATCACATCCAAGACTTTTCTTCTTGAGGGAAGACTCTGTTAGCAATTCAGAAAATCAGGATACTTCCAAATGTTCTAAAGACAAAAATATCTATGATAAATCAATTATAGCCACCCACAGTCTTTTGAGACTTTCTAATTTTCCTGTCAGCAGATACTATAGTTTAGGGTTGCCTTCTGCTGCTCCCCAGCAGAAAAGTATGAGGTTCAAATGATATACTGCTAGAAAAACTGCTTTATGATTTTTGAGTGCTGTGCAAGTCTAAAACTGTATGGCCAAGATCTCAGAGCAAGAAGAGCCCATACTGAGCAAAGACCACAGTATACTCTGCAGTGATGAGTCTGCGCCTGCCTGCACTTGACCATCTTCCTCCATCTCCCACCAGGATGAAGAGCCTAAGCGCCCCACAGGGGCCCAGGTGAAGCGCCACGCCTCCTCCTGCAGTGAGAAGTCCCATCGCGTGGACCCACAGGTCAAAGTCAAACGCCACGCCTCCAGTGAGTTGTGTGTGAGCCTCCCCTGCTGACTAGGTGGGAAGGGAAGGAACCAGTCTATAGGAGGGATTTCAAAATCAGTTCCTCTGGTGGGTAAATAAATGAGCAAAGTGAGATGCAAGAAAATACATACCGCAAGAAAAATCACAGCGCAAGCACAATGATAAAGGGCAGCCAGCATGTGTCCTCAGAGGGAAAATGACAGGGAGTTGGGGGGTGGGGGGAACGGTAGGAAACCGGAGTGCTCAGGTCCCAACTCTAGGGGAGGCTGCTGCACAGCTCCAGAAGACAATCCCCATGCAGCAGTACCAGGCCCCTAACACCACATCTGCCACTTACTTAAAACAGGCCACAAATCTAGACTTTAGGTGAAATTTACTTATTTTTTAATATCAGCAACAATTTTTTTTTTGTAATTTAGCACTGAATGAGGCCAAATAGAAAGGAGAGAGAGATTGTTGACAAGCTGTATCTGTTTCAGAGGCTAACAATTTGTGATTTCTGATCTGGGGTAATAAGGGAGAATTGAATCCATCCAAATACCCTGGATCCAGCTGCCATGAAAGCCAGAGCTTGCCGTGGTATCCCACCCTAGCTCTGCTAGCACCCCACAGGGGCTCAGTTAAGTGCCTGATTGCCACACTGCACAATGATGACTAGGTATGCCAGGCAACTCTGTTGTGAATTCTTTTTTACTTCCAACAGTAATCTGTGCTTCTGTGTGATTTATCTTTATGAACAAGCCAACTTCCTGTGGGACAGCATGTTCCAAGAGTTTTTTCTTTGTTCCTTTACACTTCTTCCCCCTGCATCTCAACAGAGTCAAGTCCTGTTCTGTGTTTTTTGAAAACTTACTTTTATTTGTTAATATCTATTTTTAAAAATACTTTTCTATATTATAGCTCCATTTCATTTGTATAGATCATCTCTTCTGGGGATCAGGAAATGTGTATTCCACTCCTCATTCCTCCCTTGACCACTGAATTACTGTGCAACTTTGGGAAAAGTTCTTTCCCCTCTCTGGGCCTGAGTTTCCTCTCTGAACAATCAGAAGGTTGTTGTGTAACTTTGCACTCTACTCTCAGAGGCACTGGAAATACAGGGCCTTGTGAAATGACCATTTTAAAATGGAAATCTAAACTGAAAAAAAAAGGATGTAAGATTAAAGAAATCACTCAATGTCAATGACAACAACAAAAAACTAACAAACACACGTAAAAAAGCAGACCCTTTCTTCAAATCAAATCGTATATGAAAGCCCAGCTTATAAAAGAAAAATAAAAGTGGAGCTACTCTGATTGAGGCCCACTGGGCCTCCACTTTTCCTGTTAGCCATCACTGTGAGGTCATAAGTTTCCGGCACTGGGAAACTACAGTGAAAAACTACTGATGAATTCCAAAAAGGTTGTTTTTTAGATGAAGAAACTGAAGAAAATAAAAGGGAAGATATATTAATCCATTCCTCCTGCTATTTCAAAATTCCATAAGCTGGGTTACTTACAAACAACAGAAATGTATTTCTCATTGTTCCGGAGGCTGGGAAGTCTAAGATCAAGGTGGCAGCAGATTTGGTGTCTGGTGAGGGCCTGTTTCCTGGTGATGGCCATGTTTTTGCTCCCTGGGGTCTCTTTCCTAAGGGCATTCATCCCACCCATGAGGGCTCTACCCTCATGGCCTAATCACCTACCAGAGGCCCCACCTCCAAGTGCCATCAATAGGGGATTAGGTTTCAACATATGAATTTTGGGGGATGTAAACATCTAGTCTACAGCCAAAGAATCTTGTCCATGATCATGTATTAATTGCCTATTGCTACATAAGAAATTACCCAAAATTTAGTTCCTCTAAATGATGAACATGTGTTATGTCACATGGTTTCTGTGGTTCAGGAATCCCAAATGGCTTGGATAGGTAGTTCTGGCTTGGGGTCTCATGAGATCTCAATATGTTGGCTGGTCATCTGAAGTCATCTGAAGGCTTGACAGGCTGAAGGATCCACTTCTGAGATGGCTCACTGCATGCCTAGCAAGTTTGTGCTGGTTGTTGGAAGGAGGCCTCAGTTCTTTGCCATGGGAATCTCTTCATAGAGTTGCTTGTCCTTGTTATGTGACAGCTGGCTTCCCCCAGAGCAAGCAACCCAAGAGAGAACAGCAAGACTGATGCTGCAAGGTCTTTTATGACCTATGGTTAGAAGTTACACTCTGTCATTCTGCAATGTCCCAATGGTTACACAGGTCAGCATTGTTTAGTGTGGGAGGGGACCACAAAAGGGCATGAATATCAAGAAGCAAGAATCATGGAGATCAAGTAGATTGCTGAGAAAAATGGTGGTGTGAGAAGCTGCATAGACCCATTCCCTAGCAAAACAGTTGTAGCTGGTGAAATTTATTAAAACAAACAATTATCTAAAGTTTGGAAATTTTCCTAAGAGCAAATGAAGAAACATTTATTCTAGAAAATTTGCTAAATCTCAGAACAGTGAGAGTTTGTAGCATTTGAGCCACAACCTACCCCTTTACTCCTCAACTCAGTTTGAAAGAATCTCCACTCCAGGCAGGTCTGAACAAGAAAACAGGGCTCCCTCTTCAGTCAAGGGCTATAGTATCTCCCCGGAAAGGGCAGTATTTATTCTCATACTCAGCTCCATGCTGCAGAGGATAAATTTCAGGTGATTGCAGCCAAGAGGTAGGAAGTTCCCTTCCTCTACCCAGAGTATAGAGCAAAGGTTTTGCCCCAGGTAGGGTAAGCCAAGAATACTGGGGCCCTGATTGCCCTCATCCTAGCTTACTTGTAGGCCAGAGGTCCCATGCTGGGAGAGCAGGCAGAGAAGACCAGAGGTTACTGCCCCTACCCAGCACCCTGCTCATACCAGGAATGTCACTGCAAGAGAAACAGGCTGTCTTAATCCATTTTATGCTGCCATAACAGAATACCAGAGACTGGGTAATTTATAATGAACAGAAATTACTAGCTCCCAGTCTGGAGACTGGAAAGCCCAAGATCAAGGTGTTGACATCTAGCAAGGTCCTTCTTGCTGGATCATCACCTGGCAGAAAATGGAAGGGCAAAGAGGCAAAAGGGGGTTAATACCACCCATGAAGGCAAAGCCCTCAGGACCTAAATCACCTCTCAAAGTCCTACCTTTTCATACTGTTACAATTGCAGTTAAATTTCAACATGAGTTTTGGAGGGGACAAACATTCAAATTACAGCATAGGCCATTGTTCCCACCCCTGGATCCAGAGCAGTGACTCAGCGATTTTGGCCAGTAGGGAAAGGCAGGTCCTAAGAACAGAGAACTCTAGAGCTCTTCCTCAAAAGAACTGACTTTAGTTGGAACAGAGTGTGGGAAAGTTTAAAACAAAGGGTGCTCTCAAAAACAATGGAGATTTGGTGGTAAATAGGAGGAGGCTGGTAGCTCCATGAGAACAATAAACGAAACCATAGGCCAGCTAGCTTATCAGAGAGAACCACAGAAAGAGCTAAAAAAAACGCCCTTAGCCAGGCATGATGGCTCACGCCTGGAATCCCAACACTTTGGGAGGCTGAGGCAGATCGATCACTTGAGGCCAGGAATTCAAGACTAGCCTAGCCAACATGGGAAAACTCTGTCTCTATTAAAAATACAAAAATTGGCCAGGCATGGTGGCAGGCACCTGTAATCCCAGCTTCTCAGGAGGCTGAGGCACAACAATCACTTGAACCCAAAAGGTAGAAGTTGCAGTGAGCCGCAATCATGCCACTGCACTCCAGCCTGGGTGACAGAGTGAGACCCTGTCTCAAAAAAAATATTTTAAAAAAAATTTTTAATAAAAAGAGCCCTCCTGAGGTTAGAACAATTCTCAAAGATGAGCCTCTAAAACTACCCCATAAAGGGGCTGAATTTAATTGGATCAGACTGTGGAGTAACTGATACATTGTCAAAAACAATAGAGCAAACACTTGACAATTAGCAGAGCCTAACAGCTGGGTCTAAGAGCAACAGAGGCAGACTGCTTAACAGGAGATTATGGAAAGAGTCAGAGAAATCCCTGCTAATACACTGTCATCCCAGAGTGACTGTACACATGCCAAGGCTGTGGCCTCTGAGGAGCAACTTCAGTGGCTTCATACTGCAAGAGGAAATAGACTACACTAAAATAGTTCAGACAAGTCACTAAACAAATAACAACCCAACAACCTGATTGGGGGGATGCATATCAAAAGATACTACAATATAGTCTCTAAAATGACCAGTTTTCAACAAAACATTATGAGACATGCGAAGAAGCAGGAAAATGTGACCCATACAGAAGGAAAAAAAAGCAACAGAAACTACCCCAGAGAGGGCCCAAATGTAGAATTTAACAAATATTTTAAAGCAGCCATTATAAATATATTTAAAGAACTTAAGGAAACCGTGCTTAAAGAAATAAAGGAATGGAAGACGACAGTGTATTAACAGTTATTACAGTGTAGTACAGTATAGTACGGTTATTACAGGAAGATGACAGTGTATTAACAGATAGCCTATATTATTGGTAGTCTCTATCAATATATTATTGATAATAGCCCAATTCCTCCTGCTATAACAAGTTCCCATAAACTAGGTAACGTATAAACAATAGAAATGTATTTCTCGTTGTTCCAGAGAAATTGGCTTCATACTGCAGGAAGAAATAGACTACACTGAGTACTATAGTACACTATACTATACACTGTAGTACAGGTATATAGAATTACACTGTAGTTATATGGAATATAACTATATGCTATCCTATATTATATTATAGTATGTAGTGTAGTTATATGAAATATATTATTGATAATATATTCATAGAGGCTACCAATAAAGACACAGAAATTGTAAAAAGAAGAACCAAATGAAAATCATGAGGCCGAGAAGTATAATAACTGAAACAAAAAACCCACTCAATGGGCACAATAGTGAATTTGACCTGGTAGAAGAAAGAATCAGTGAACTTGATAATAGAAAAATATAGATTTTGCAAACCAAAGAACAGAGAGAAAAAAAAATGAAGAAAAACGACAGAGCCTCAGAGAACTGTGGAGCACCGTTAAGTGAACAAACATACATTTATAGGGAATACTAGAAGGAGAGAAGAGAGATGAGCATTAAAAATATTCAAATAATGGCTGAAACTTGCCAAATTTATTGAAAAACATTAATCTATACATCCGCAAAGCTCAGTAAAGTCCAAGTAGGATAAAGGCAAGGAGATCTACAAAAGACATATCATGTTAAAAATGCTGATACCAAAGATAAGGAAAAAATCTAGAAGGCAGAAGAGAAAATCAAGTCATCATGTATAAAAGAACCCCAGTAACATTAACAGCTGACTTCTCATCAGTAACAATGGAAGTCACAAGGTCCTCCATGCTGTATTTATGATCAGGCTTGAACTGCAGGGTAGTTGTGTCAGGAACTGATTTCTGCATGGGTCACTGGGTGACCACTGCAATCCCAGCACAGCTGGGTAGACAAGACCCCCAATTATCCACAAACTGCAGGAATCATTCTGCACCAACTTACATAGAGCTGTGTGTGGCTCTGTATAGCGTGCGTGCGCGCACGCGCACACACACACACACACACACACACACACACACACAAAGTAAAACTTTCCCTAAGAGGTTGCACTATGGCCTTGGCCCAGCTAGAACAGTATTGCACAGCATGGACCCTGGAATCAGAGACACGTGGAGACATGGGTTTAACCTCATCTCTGCCACCATTAGCAGTGAGACCTAACCTCTTGTGTGCCTCAATTTCCTCAACAATAAAAAAGAACTAATTATAATAAGTTTTGTGGGCCAGGTGCAGTGGCTCATGCCTGTAATCCCAACACTTTGGGAGGCTGATGTAGGCAGATCACTTGAGGTCAGGAGTTTAAGACCAACTTGGCCAACATGCGAAACCCCATCTCTACTAAAAATACAAAAATTAGCCTGGCATGGTGGCATGCACATGTAGTCCCAGATACTCTACTCGGGAGGCTGAGGCAGGAGAATTGCTTGAACCCCAGAGGCAGAGGTTGCAGTGAGCCAAGGTCATACCACTGCACTCCAGCCTGGTCAGAGCTAGATTCCATCTCAAAAAAATAAATAAATAAAATAAGTTTTGTGATGACTAAATGGGAATGCAAGTAAATGGCTTAGCATATAGTGTGTAGTGTATACTATAGCAAATAATAAATTTTTGCCATAATTATTTGTTTTTATTGTCCACCATAGTGTTGAACCTTCAGTAGACTGCCAGGTCCCTCCCTCCCCCAACCCTTTCCCCAGCAATAAAATGGACAATGCCTGACTGTAGCCCAAAGTGTAAACTCTCTGGAGATCTGGGTTATATGGAACAGTCTCGTCTTATAGATATTTGAAAACTGACTATAAAACATGCTCTTTTAAAACCCAATCCAAGTGTGTTATGCATCACAAATTTGTTTTTTAATAATATTATCATTATTATCTAACCCTTACTAAGTACTTATCATTTGCCAGGTACTACACTAAGTGCTTTTCATTAATCATCTCATTTAATCCTTACCACAACTCTATGAAGTAAATTGTATCCATATCCTTATATACAAATAAGGAAACTAAGGTCAAGGGGGAAACACACAGAAAAACACTACCAGTCACTTTTGCCTAATGTCACACAACCTGGAAGGGCAAAAATGCCCACATCTCAGACTGCCTGGTTCCAAGGCCCTTGATCCTACTCCTTATGCTCTATAGCCTCCCTTTTGCTTCTTCTTTCCTTAGAGGATTCACACTAAATATATCTAAGGGACTAGATCTAAATATTTCCATTTTATAGATGAAGCAGTTGGGGCTGAGAGAGAAGCTGACACCACCCAAGTACTTTTGCCAGAGGTCAGAACTGAGGGCCTTTCCCTTCCCTACATCTCTGCAGGTGCCAATCAATACAAGTATGGCAAGAACCGAGCCGAGGAGGATGCCCGGAGGTATTTGGTAGAAAAAGAGAAGCTGGAGAAAGAGAAAGAGACGATTCGGACAGAGCTGATGGCATTGAGACAGGAGAAGAGGGAGCTGAAGGAAGCCATTCGGAGCAGCCCAGGTACCTGTGTGGGTGTGGTCCTGAGCACCCATGGGTGGCTGGCTCATCCTTGGGCACAGTAAGGGGAGGTCTTTGCACAGGTCACCTGGTTTTCTACCCAAGAGAAATGGGTTTCTCTACTCCTCCTTCTCTTCCTCCTCCTTCTCTTTCTTCTCTTCATCATCATCGTCATTCCTCCTAATTAAAGGAAGTGCCATCAATTTAATAACTGTTTTGGAGAGATGAAAAAACATCATAATAATGTGTACACTTAATGTGGTAAGAAGTAACCTGATTTTAGAAATGTGAAGCACAGGCCGGATGCGGTGTTTCACACTTGTAATCCATCCGGCGGGTGGATCACGAGGTCAGGAGTTTGAGACCAGCTTGGCCAACACAGTGAAACCCCGTCTCTACTAAAAATACAAAAATTAGCTGGTCGTGGTGGCAGGCACCTGTAATCCCAGCTACTCAGAAGGCTGAAGCAAGAGAACCTCTTGAACCCGGGAGGCGGAGTTTGCAGTAAGCCAAGATCACGCCACTGCACTCCAGCTGGGATACAGAGCTAGACTCCATCTCAAAAAAAAAGGCCAGGTGCGATGGCTCAAACCTGTAATCCCAGCACTTTGGGAGACCAAGGCAGGTGAGGTCAAGAAATTGAAATCATCCTGGCCAACATGGTGAAACCCCCTTTCTACTAAAAATATAAAAATTAGCTGGGCATGGTAGTGCGCTATAGTCCCAGCTACATGGGAGGCTGAGGCAGGAAAACTGCTTGAACTCGGGAGGTGGAGGTTGCAATGAGCCTAGGTGGCACCACTGCAACAGCCTGTCAACAGAGCAAGACTCTGTCTATAAAAAAAGAAAAAAAAAAAAGAAATAGGAAGCACGGGAAGTGTGTCTTAGAATCAAGGAAATAAGAAATGTCATTCTGAATCCCACCTTCATTCATTCACAGATATGTGTGAGACATGGGTCCTGATGCAGGGAATGATGGACATGACACTTTCCCAGGATCCTCTTCTGAAACCCAGGGACCTCAGCAGCCCCTGCCTGCTCTGGGCTTCTCCACACCCTATTGTCTCCTTTGTTTCCTTTGCATTCTCTCTAACTGCAGTGTGATACACACTTTAAGCCTAAAGTTTCTCCACATGCTGGAGGGAGCAGAAGTCCTATTTCTATAAAACATGTCCACAAACATGTAGCCCTATGCGAATCTGGTTAAGAAGAAACACCACAGTTCACAAAGCTGCAAAAAAGTTCAGGTGCTCATGTGGCTGCCTATGGAGCCTATCTGTAGATTGCCTAAGACTACATGAGCCTCAGATTGAGAAATTCTGGTTTAAAAGACTTGCTCTATGTGGCCAAAACCAGAATCAACAAGAGGAAGGCACAGGAAGGCAGTTTGGTTTCCATGTAAAGAAGAATCTTCTAAGAGTCAGAACCAGCATTTGGAGCCAGTTGACTACACTTGTCCTGCTCAATTTTTTTCCCCTGTGACACTATCACTTTGTAACCTATCAGATTATTTATTACATTTATTATTTATTGTTTGCCACACACACACACAGATATAAGCTCCATAAGGGCAAGGATTTTTGCCTGCTTTGTTCACTGATATATCTAGAGCCAAGGACAATGCCTGATACATGGTAAGCATGCATTAAATACATGGTGCATGATGAATATAAGGAATTCAGGAACCACCATCTTCCAGTAATTCACCAAAATGACAAACACCAAGGGAAAGAGGAGAGGCACCCCATATGTATTCTCTAGGCCTTTTAGAAAACATGAAGTTGTTCCTTTGGCCACGTTATTATACGCAAATCTTTAAGAAAGGTGATATTGTAGACATCAAGGGAATGGAATAGGTGCTGTTCAAAAAGGAATGTCCCTCATGTGTTACCATGGCAAAGCTGGAATAGTCTACAGTGTTGCCCAGCATGCTGTTGGCATTGTTGTAAACAAACAAGGGCAAGATTCTTGCCAAGAGAATTAATGTGCATAGTGAGCACATAAGCACTCTAAGAGCCGAGATAGCTTCCTGAAACAGGTGAAGGAAAATGATCAGAAAAAGAAAGATGCCAAAAAGAAAGGTACCTGGGTTTAAATGAAGCGCCAGCCTGCTCCACCCAGAGAAGGACACTTTGTGAGAACCAATGGGAGGGAGCCTGAGCTGCTGAAACCTATTCCCTATGAATTCATGGCATAATAGGTGTAAAAAAAAAAAAAAAATCAACATTACTGGAAAACCATCCAGTGCAGCCTCCCTCAGGGCAAAGAATGGAACTTATTTTTAAACCTGGTAAGACCCAACACAGCACTTAGCATGAGAAAGGTACTAATATAGGATTGTTGGATTAAATCGAATAAGCAGGCTGGGTGCCGTGGCTCACACTTGTAATCCTAGCACTTCGGGAAGCTGAGGCAGGAGGACTGTTTGAGGGCAGGAGTTCGACACCAGCCTGAGCAATATAATGAGACCTTGTCTCTATTTTTTTTTTTAAAGAAAGAAAAAAAAATTTTTAATATAATTTAAAAATAAAAATACATTAAATAAGCAGCAAAATCTTACTGGAAACTCTGGTGTCTGTAAAGTACTGTGTTATGACTCTTGTTTACAAGTAACATAAACCAAAGCTAAACTGGCAAAGAAATGAAAAGAAGAAAGATGTAATTGGAAAATGGAGAGATCCAGTGTAGTCGGGTCCAGGCACTTAAATGATGTCACCAGGAAGCTTATTTCTTACACTTACGCTTCTGCCCTTCTCTCCTTTGGTTTCAGTCTCCCCTTGTGATTGCACAATGGCTGCACAGTGCTAGCCCTCACCCAGCCCTCCCAGCCAACCCAAGCAAAGAGAGCTTCTCTTCCCAATGACCATCACAAAAGTCTCTGGATTCACTCTGATTGGTCCCACTTTCATCCCTAATCCAATCACTGTCACCAGAAGATGAGTTGTGATTATGGAGCAGACCTAAGTTATGTGCCAGACCCTTGAACTAGAAGTAGAGTCAGGCCCACCCAAACTATAGAGAATGGTGGTGGGAGGTAGGGGGAAGTGTGGTGGCTCATGCCTATAATCCCAGCCTTTGGGAGGCCAAGGCTGGCGGATTACTTGAGGTCAGCAGTTTGAGACTAGCCTGGCCAACATGGTAAAACCCCATCTCTACTAAAAATACAAAAATTAGCTGGGCGTGCTGGTATGTGCCTGTAGTCCCAGCTACTTGGGAGGCTGAGGCAGGAGGATCACTTGAACCCAGGAGGTGGAGGTTGCAGTGAGTCAAGGTCACACCACTGTACTCCAGCCTGGGTGACAGAGTGAAAAATCCATCTCAAAAAAAAAAAGAAGAGGAGACAGAATGAGAGGGGGAAGGTGGTTTCCCAGAGAAAAATCAGAGTGCTATTTCCAGGAGATGATGAAATGGGTACCAAACATATAAAGACCACATCACCCAGCATGGAGCTGGAACCCCAAGCCCAGAGTCCATCTCTTTACCAAGACTGGGGGCTGGAAAGGCCCTCCAGGAGGGGCAGACAAAGGCCTGAGGCCCTGCCAGATTCCCTGACACTTCAGGTTAGGTTCAGCTGTTTCTTTTCAATGTCTCTTGATTCAGGAGCAAAATTAAAGGCTCTGGAAGAAGCCGTGGCCACCCTGGAAGCTGAGTGTCGGGCAAAGGAGGAGCGCCGGATTGACCTGGAGCTGAAGCTGGTGGCTGTGAAGGAGCGCTTGCAGCAGTCCCTGGCTGGGGGGCCAGCCCTGGGGCTCTCCGTGAGCAGCAAGCCCAAGAGTGTGGTGAGTCCAGGGCCTTCCATGCCAGGGGCAGCTGCTCCTATATCCCTTCACTTTCTACAGATCTCCTTCATGATCATTCTTTGGAGGTAGGGTTTATGCCTATTTACAGACAAGAAAATGAAGTCCAAAGAGGCGAAGGGCATGCCATGGGTACCACAGCTAGGAAGAGGACTCTTGGAGCAATTTATCTTGGTTTTCCGGCCTGTTCTTGTCTCCACAGCAGCACCACCATTTGACTTTTTACCCTGAAGGTGATCTTAGAAATGGCCTTGAGGTTATTGATGATAATGGTAGCCACCATATGTTGAATAACAAACATGTGTGATCCATTACTACAGGCATCTTAACCTGTATTATCTCACACAATCTTCATGGCAGTCCTATGAGGTAGTATTATAGGGGTTATTGACAAACAAGGAAACTAAGGTTCAGAGGTGTCGAATGAATTACTAAAGGTCACTCAATGAAGTGAAAGACAGGATTCCAAACCCAGGAAGTCTAACTCCAGAGCCCTGCTCCAGAGCCCTCCAGGGCAACATGGCGAAACCCTGTCTCTACAAAAAATACAACAGTTTCACATACCCTCTCCTAGGATCTCCAGGGTACCAGGCCCTGTCCTCAGGGCTCTGCATCCATTGTCTCTAATGCTCCCAGCAACTCTGTGAGAAGATACTCCCACCTGCAAAGGGACTTTCTCAGAGAGAACTTCCCTGACCTTATCTACATCAGGGTTTCTCAACCTCAGCATACTGCCATTTTGGACCAGTAATTCCTTTTTATAAGGGACTGTTCTATGCATCAGCAGGATGTTAGGGATGTTAAGGTCCCACCTAAGGATATCAAGTAGCATGTTAAGCAGCATCTCTAGCTTCTACTTACTGGTTGCCAGTAGCACCCCAACCTCCAATGACAACCAAAATATCTCCAGAAATTGCCAGATGTCCCCTGGGAGAGCAAAACTGACCCTAGTTGGTCTAAATTACCAACAGTTCCCTCTATTCTTCTTCCTTGTAGCACTTAACCACAATTTGTGTGTATGCGTGTGTGTGTATATGTTTGTGTCCTTGCTTGTCCAGTGTCTGTCTTCTCCACTAGATTGTATTTTTGTTAAGAATTGAACTACGTCCATTTGATCATTAAATCCCTGGCCCTTTATAGAAAAATAGTAGGAGTACAAGAAATATTTGCCAAATGAATAAATGTTTTACCTGCTTTGGGGTGACGAAATTGAGACTCAAAGAGATGAAATAACTTGTCTGGTAAGTATGACTGGTGGGAGGCAATGTGTCATTATTATTTTTGTCCCCGGTCACGCTTCCTGGTCACACCACAGCTGATTGAGCCAGTGCTGTGTCTTACACCCCTATACTTCCTTTCCATGGGGTGTTTCCAACCTCATTGTATAGATGAAAAACATGACAGCCAAGGATAAACAACTTCCCAGAGTCACAGAGGGCTGGTTCATTCATCCCAGCTGCTTCCTCCCACCAGCATGGCCTGATATTCCCATTCCAGAGCACTTTTCCCTCTGTTTTGAATCCTTTTGACATTCTTTGGAGATAAGAGCCTTATCTAAATTCCTTGCAGGCTTAGCAGTTAAGATGTCACCCTTAAAAAATTACATCCAGTAAGGTATTAACACTAAGCAATTATCTGGAAAATGTAGGGGGTATAGGTAATTTCAAAACTGAGAAGGAATACAGGAGAGAGGTTAAGAGTCAGGCTGTGGGACCAGGCATGGTAACTCATGCCTGTAATCCCAGCACTTTGGGAGGCTAAGACGGGTGGATCACTTGAGGCCAGCAGTTCTAAACCAGCCTGGCCAACATAGTGAAACCCCATCTCTATTAAAAATACAAAAATTAACTGGGCGTGGTGGCACATGCCTGTCCCAGCTACTCAGGTGGCTGAGGCATGAGAATCGCTTGAACCTGGGAGATGGAGGTTGCAGTGAGCTGAGGTCACACCACTGCACTCCACTTGCACAGAGATCAAGACTCTGTCTCACACACACACACACACAAAGTAGGGCTATGGAATTGGAATCCTGGTTCTCACACTCACCAGCCATGTGACATTGCACAGCAATTTGACCTTCCCCATTTCCTCACCTATAAAATGGAATGACTAATAATAGTACCTACTTCACAGGCTTATTGAAAAGCTAAAGGAGCTAATTCATACAATGCTTGGTACACAGTGAGGTTCAGTACTTTTAGTTGTCATTATCATTATCTGAGGTCCTCAAGTACAGTATCTTCTCGTCTCACCTTGTTCAATGCTGTCATGTTTGCCAGGTGCCTTTTATTTTAAAGTTCCTCATGCAACCGGGCACATTAGCTCACACCTGTAATCCCAGCATTTTGGGAGGCCAAGGTGGGTGGATTGCTTGAGCTCAGGAGTTTGAGACCAGCCTAGACAACTTGGTGAAACCCCATCTCTACTAAAAATACAAAAATTAGCTGGGCACCATGGCTCACACCTGTAATCCCTGCACTTTGGGATGCCGAGATGTTTGGATCATCTGAGGTCAGGAGTTTGAGACCAGTCTGGCCAACATGGTGAAACCCTGTCTCTACTAAAAATACAAAAATTAGCCAGGCATGGTGGTACACACCTATAATCCCAGCTACTTGGGAGGCTGAGGTATAAGAATCATTTGAACCCAGGAGGCAGAGGTTGCAGTGAGCCAAGCTCACACCACTGTGCTCCAGCCCGGGTGACAAAGAAACTCTGTCTCAAAAATAAAAAAGTATCCTCATGCTTTTGAAGGCAGGCTGGGTGTAGGTAGCCATCACCAGATCTCACCTATCTAATTATTTCTTGTCATCAACAGGAAACTGCAAATAAACCGCCGAACAGCATTCCAGAGCAATCTCTCCCTGTCAACTGTGTTTCTGAGCTGAGGAAGAGGACCCCATCCATCGTAGCCGCCAACCAAGGAAGAGTGCTACAGAAAGCCAAGGTAGAGCAATAGTTCAGCTCATCAAAATCAGAGATCTGGTAGCCCCCATTCTGTGGAACTTTACCCAAAACAAAAAAAATCAACTAGTGAGAAAGGAAGAGAACTGCCAATAAATTTATGCAATAAAACTCATGAACCTTCCTCAGAGGCAGTAACCCTCAGATCTTATTCAGAACCTATTCACTCATTGTTAACACATATTTCTAGCAAGCTTAATTGTCTGGTTTCTGAGCCTACAGTGCATTCTGAGACAGGACAGGTCCCATTTCATAGATGAGATAACTGAAAATCGAGGATGATGGGACTTGCCCAGGGCCATGCAAGGTATCATTGCAAAAGCAAGGAAGAAAACCCACCTCTTCCAATTCTAAGTCCATGGCTCCCTCCAGAATGCTGGTCCACAGTCCCTTCTGTGTGACTTAGGGGTCAGCTGTGTTTCAGAACTTTTTGGATTTTATAAAGGTAATATGGTACCTACACTAATATATGGTGAAAACCCCAACAGGTCCTCAGGTGGTATCATGTATGCAAACATGTTAGTAATTCTACAACAAGACATAGGAATATTTATAGCACATGGAGTGAATAAAGATTATAAACAGCCTCATATCAGGTCAGGTCAGGTTCTGCCACCAAATAAGTCTGTACCAAAACAGTAGAGAAATATTTTGGTTTCACACCCTTCTGGATTTCAGAATTGCAGACAAAGTGTGGACCTGTCCTGGTCCATTTTTTTGCTGCTTATAACAGAATACCTGAACCTGGATAATTTATAAAGAAACAATGTATTTCTTAGAGTTTGGGAGGCTAAGTCTCAGGTTGATGAGCCACATCTGGTGAGGACCATCTTGCTGGTGGGGACTCTATTCAGAGTCTGGAGGTGGCCCAAGGCATCACATGGTGAGGGGGCTAAGCATGTTAGCTCAGGTCTCTCTCCCTCTTTTTATAAAGCCACCAGTCCCACTCCCATGATAACTCATTAATGCATTAACTCATGAATGGATTAATCCATTCATGAAGACAGAGCCGTCATGACCCAATCACTTCTTAAAGGCTGCACCTCCCAATATTGCCACATTAGGGATTATATTTCAACATCAGTTTTGGAAGGGACAAATCATAGCAGGACCTGCAAAACAAAGGCCTAGCACATCAGAGATGCTTAGGAAGCCTTTACTAGACCTGTTTGGCAGCAGCACAGAATATTTGAAAAATTGGTAGGAGACGGCCAGATGCAGTGGCTCATGCCTGTAATCCAAGCACTTTGAGGCCAAGGCGGGCGGATCACCTGAGATCGGGAGTTCAAGACCAGCCTGACCAACATGGTGAAACCCTGTCTTTATTTTTAAAAAAAGAAAAAGAAAAATTGGTAGGAGATGAGACTGGAAAGATAGTGATATAGAAGGACCTGAACTAAGAAATCCTAAGCTAAGAAATGTGGAAACTGATGACTTTTCAAGGAACAATCTCTTTTTTAAATATGAAAATATAAAATTCTTTAATTTAAAATTAAAATTAAATTAAATTTAAATTTAATTTAAAATTAAATGGAATGGTGGTTGCTAGAGGCTGAGAGCTGGGGGAATTGGGGAGATGTTGGTCAGAGGATACAAAGTTTCAGTTTTAAGATGACTAAGTTCTGGAGATTTAATATACAGTATTGTGACTACAGTTAACAATACCATATTATATACTCAAAATTTGCTTTAAAAAGTAGCTTTTAAATGTTCTCACCACACACACACGCGCACACGCAAATGATAACTAGGTGTTAACTAAAGTTGACTGTGATAATCATTTCACAATAGGTCAAATCAAAACAAACAATAAAAGTTAAAAATTAGGAAAATAATAAAAAGGGGAACATCCTGTTTAAAGCAGTGGAAAACTCCATTCATTCAAGAAACATATATTAAGCACCTGCTAAATGCTTGGCACTTTGCTAAACACTTTGAACATGTTCCTTCATTCCATCTTTGCAAGTAAAGTGGGCATTCTTAGCCCCATTTCACAGCAGAGGAGACTGAAGTTTAAGTGGTAGATAAACCAGTGAACAAGACAGACAAGGTCTGATTTTCAAGGAACTTCCAAGCCAGTGAAAGGAGACCAATAATACATAAGCGCCCTGTTAATATAAGAAGATAATTCCAGAAAGTGATACATCTACAAAATATGTATAGATATATGGAAAGGGACAGAGACTAGGGACAAGGTTGGAGCAATATACATAGTGGTCAGAAAGGGCCTCTCCTAGCAGTGACCCAAATGATGAGAATGACCATCATGAGAAGATCTAGAGCAGAAGCTTTCCAGCAAGAGACAGCAGGTCCAAAGGCTGTCGAGTGTGCCTGATGGCCAGGTGGAGGCCAGAGCAGCTGGAACACAGAGAGGGAGAGTGAGCATGGAATTCCCTATTGAGGCAGGCAGCGCCTGATCATTTTATGGCCTGAAATTGCATATCATATTAGAATACATTTAAAAAGCAGCTGTTTATTAGCTTCATATCAACACTGCTTCAAGAATTGGCAAAATTTTGTCTAAGATCACACCAGCACAGACTTTTAAAATGCATGGCATGCCGGGCGCGGTGGCTCAAGCCTGTAATCCCAGCACTTTGGGAGGCCGAGGCGGGTGGATCACGAGGTTAAGAGATCGAGACCATCCTGGTCAACATGGTGAAACCCCGTCTCTACTAAAAATACAAAAAATTAGCTGGGCATGGTGGCGTGTGCCTGTAGTCCCAGCTACTCAGGAGGCTGAGGCAGGAGAATTGCCTGAACCCAGGAGACGGAGGTTGCGGTGAGCCGAGATCGCGCCATTGCACTCCAGCCTGGGTAACATGAGTGAAACTCCGTCTCAAAAAAAAAAAAAAAAATGCATGGCTTGGCCAGGCACAGTGGCTCACACCTGTAATCCTAGCACTTTGGGAGACCAAGGTGGGAGGATCGCCTGAGCCCAGGAATTCAAGATCAGCCTGGGCAACATGGTGAAACCTTGTGGTCTACAAAAATACAAAATAATTAGCCGGGTGTGATGGCACATGCCTGTAGTCCCAGCTACTCTGGAGGCTGAGGTGGGAGGATCACTTAAGCCCAGGGGGAGGGGTGAGGTTGCAGTGAGACCTAGAATGCACTCCAGCCTAGATGACACTAAGTGACACCCTGTCTCAAAAAACAAATAAAATAAAAAGCATGGCTCTATGTCTAGGTTGGAGCTGCATCCTCAAGTTGGAATTGACTTTCAGAGCCTGAGAGGGAAGAGACTTTATTCTTTCCAACAGTTAGTCAGTCATTCAAATATTTATTGAAGACCTACCATATGCCAGTCTTATTCTAGTTTCTAGTTACCTAACAGGGAACCCAAAAATGTCCCTGGTCACATAGAGTTGGGAAGACAAGACTTTAAATACCACACCTAAATAAAGAATGTGATGCCAGAGAAGATGAACCTTCTAAAGGGGTTTAAGCACAGTGATAGCAAAGACCTTTTAGAGAAGGTAACACATAAGCAGAGACCTGAATGGAGTGTGAGGTACAGACTCATGCATGGGGCTGAGGGAAGGATGAGCCAGGCAGAGAGAAGAGCAAGTGTCAAGTCCCTGAAGTGAGAAAAAGCTTGATATATTTGAGGAACATCAAGAAGATCTAGATGATTCCAGTGAAGGGAACAAAGGGTGAGCACTAGGAGTTGAGATCAGAGAAGTAACCAGTGAGGGGCCAGATCATCTAGACCAGTGGTCAGCAAACTTATTCTGTAAAGGGCTAGAGAGTAAATATTTTAGGCTTTCTGAACCATATGATCTGTTCCATAACCTCTCAACCCTGCCATTGTGGCATGAAAATAGCCATCAACAATACATAAATGATGATGAAAAGGGCTGTGTCTCAATAAAACTTAATTTACAGACAGTAAAATTTGAATTTCATATAATTTTCATGTGTCATGAGATAGTCATCTTCTTTTGATTTTTTTTCAAACATTTAGAAATAAGAAAATCATTCTTAGCTGATGGATGATACGAGAACAGGCAATAGGCCAGACTTGGCCCACAAACTATCATTTACCAGCTTGTTATCTAAGGCCTTACAGGCCACTGAGGAACCACAGAACTTGTTCTAACATAATGAATCTTGTTGTGACATGATGGAAGGTTTTGAGCAAAGAGTTTTGAATATGAATTACATTTTTTAAAGACCATTCAGGCAACTACTTTGAGCATGGATGAAGGGACAAGAAAGACCAGCATGGAGAAGTGACTTACTGAGGGCCACAGAAAGACAGAGAGGGGGCTAGAACCCAATGCAACCTGGACAGTGGAGATCTTCATGTAACTAGGTGCCATGCAAGGTCTTTATCCATCTCACACACTAGACCATTCAACAAATTGAATTGTCTTATCTTTCTGTGCTTCAGGAATGGGAAATGAAGAAGACCTAGGAAGAAGATAAGGATTACATTCCAAAGGAAATATCAGCTTGTCCACCTGAGGAAGAAATGCTTTTTTCACAAGGAGACACCAAGAGAAGACTAGGAAGTAGCCCTCATTCTCCAGGGCACCCAAAAAACCAGCCTTTATTGTCTGCATGATTTTAGGGGACATGGGGAGGGAAGAAGTAGAAGGGAAGAGGGAAATTGAGAGCATCCTATGACTTTAAAAGGGTGGAAATGAGGATGGAGGGAGACAGATGTCTGCACAGCATAAAGGTTTTGTAGATGTCTTTGCCTTCCCTTCTGAAGAAGAAATGAAAGCACACGTGAATAACCCCTTCCATCCCATTCACAGCATCATACTCCCAGTCCTTAAGGCAAAGGGAGGCAGCACTCAAGCATTGGTGGTGCAGTGAAAGAGACAAGACCTGATCATCCGATCACACTTGTGACAACTGGATTCATATTGGGCATTACTGACAACCCCTGGGCAAGGCAAAGAGGCTGAACAATCAATAACATTATCCCTGCCTGCATACATGTGAACAAAAGCTATAGAGGACATGCAAATTCTACAGTCATTCCTCATTTGCTTTAGACAGAGTGCAGCTACTAGAATCTTTCAGATTTGAGTGTTTTAAAATCAGAGCTCTGAATACACAAAAGGAATGAAAAATGGAGCAGCTGACATATTTTAAGCTCACAGTGATACTCACTAACAGGAGCACATAGCTCTAATGTCCACAGGATGTTGTACGGTAGGGTCTTTCAGTCAATCAAGTCCCTTACCTAACTTCTATGATGCTAAGGCTCTTGGAGCTATGGGTTAGAAATCCAAGAGGTAATGTGTCTTTATTCTAATGAAGTCCTCATCTTGCACTCAGAGGCCCACCAGTCTGCCCTTCTATATATTAAGTAAAACCAAGAGAAATTCAGAGGATAATGGCTTATTTCTCTTACATGGGTGCTAAACCTTTTACAAACACTTGATACTTTTATAAGCGGACTATGGACCTCAAGTCCTGGGCAGTCTCCTTACTGTGCTACTCACTACTGTCTCAACACTCTAGGTACTTTCTGGGTCTGTCTTTAACACATTTCCTTCCAAAAAAGATATAACCACGTCTTAAAAGCCAGAGCTTAGCTCAAGAAGAAAGAAGGAAAATCTCAGAATAAACTTGGACACTTTGCTGTAGAGTTTACATATTTTAACCCACTTAAGGTTTTACAGACTTTAGCCTCACCCAAACTTTATCATCCACTGAAGTAGCTGGAGACCACAGCAGGAAAAATAACCTAACCCAGTGATCACTCACTAATTAGTGGCAAAGCATAGGACTTAGGGTTTATAAGTCCAGATCCACATAGGGCTAGGTTTGAGCCCTGCCTCTGATAACCAGCTGGGAGATCTTGGGAAAGTCACTTGACTGCTCTGATTCTTGTTTCTCTTATCTGTGAAATGGAGTTAACAATTGTACTTTCCTCCCAAGATTTTTGGGAAGATTTAATAAGACAATACATAGTAGGCATCTTGCAGAGTGTCTGAGAAATAGGAAATGTTTTGTCAATAGTGGCTCTCACTAGCCAGGCATCGTGGTACACGCTTGTAGTCCCAGCTACTTAGGAGGCTGCGGCAGGGGGACCACTTGAGCCCAGGAGTTTGAGACTGTAGTGCACTATGATCATCCCTGTGAATCACCACTGCACTCCAGCCTAAGCAAATAGCAAGACCCCATCTATTAAAAAAAAAAAAAAAAATGTGGCTCTTATTATTAGCTATATGAGAAATGTCTGACTCACAAGCCTGTGTTCTTTCCACTGAAGAAGAAATCACTTTTACATGATAATTACAGCCACCAAAAGCTAAAAGGTAACCAATATATAACTGAGAGTTTTCATCCAAATTCCACCTGTGTTTTCACAGTGAAAGGGGCTCACATACTCTGGATTTTCAGTGTTTTTTTTTTTTTTAATGTGGATCCTGGAATGTCACCCAACACTCCAACTGTGTCCTCTCAGAGTGGCTGTGGGGAATTAATATTTAACATTTATCAAGCACTCACCATGTGTCAGGCACTGTGTCAGCCATGGCCAGCTTCACAGGCATGCAACCTGTACAGTCACACAGGACCCCATGCTTAAAAGGGCCCTGTGCTTAGTTTAATGCTCTATTATTGCCATCTTAATAATATTTAAACACGGGGTTCTGCTTTTGCTTTTGCCCTCTAAATTACATGGCCAGTCCTGGTGCTAACTCACTACTCTTCCAGGCACTAGCCCTTTAGTCTTCACTAAAACCCTGAGATAAGTTATATTATCCTAGTTTTCACAGTTCAGGAAATGGAAGCCCAGATACGTAATTTGCCCAAGCTCACATAGGAAGTGGTGGAACCATTACATGAATATAAGAAGTCTGACCCTAGAACCCTTACTCTTAAAGCTCTCTGTCATCCATATATCTCCCTCCCCCTGTACTGCAACATTCAGAAGTACACTAGCACTTAATAAATAGATGAGTGAATGCATGGATGCAAGCAGCAACCTGGTGAATGTTGGGCAGCTAGGAGAAATGTAAGCAAAATGGCTAACGCACAGATGCCAATTCTTGTTCTTGGTTGTTAAAATGCCTCAAAAAAAAAAAAAAAAAAGGCTAGGTACAGTGGCTCACACCTGCAACCCCAGCATTTTGGATGGCTAAAGTGGGTGGATCACTTGAGGTAGGAGTTCAAGACCAGCCTGGCCAACATGGCAAAACCCCATGTCTACCAAAAATACAAAGATTAGTTGGGCATGGTGGCACATGCCTGTAATCCCAGCTACTCAGGAGACTGAGGCAGGAAAATCTCTTGAACCCGGGAGGTGGAGGTTGCAATCAGCCAAGACTGTACCACTGCACTCCAGCCTGAGCAACAGCAAGACTCGATCTCAAAAAAAAAAAAAGCCTTGTTTGGTTGTGTTTTTCCAAAGTGTGAGCCACAGGTCTAAGGTAGACTTGAAGCTCCATCCTTCCCAACACTGCCAAGTGTCTAGTCTGTCAGAATTCTGCTGTAACTGTCTCCTTATTCGAGGATCTTGTACAGGTTTACCAAGCTTTCTGAGCCTCAATTTTCTCATATGTAAAAGAGAACCATAATACCCCCTAAACCATGTCACCTTTTTCTTTTTTTTTTTTTTTTTTGAGACGGAGTTTTGCTCTTGTTACCCAGGCTGGAGTGTAATGGCGCGATCTCAGCTCACCGCAACCTCCGTCTCCTGGGTCCAGGCAATTCTCCTGCCTCAGCCTCCTGAGTACCTGGGATTACAGGCACGTGCCACCATGCCCAGCTAATTTTTTGTATTTTTAGTAGAGACGGGGTTTCACCATGTTGACCAGGATGGTCTCGATCTCTTGACCTCGTGATCCACCCGCCTCGGCCTCCCAAAGTGCTGGGATTACAGGCTTGAGCCACCGCGCCCGGCCATGTCACCTTTTTCATAAGGCCAAAAAGAAAATATAAGTTATTGGTCATGACACATTTGAGTTGGGCATCGGATTAGATAAAAAGATGAAAATACTCCAGCTCAGTCCTCATGGAACTCACAGACACACAGAAAAGAAAATCTGACCCAAATAACTACAGTACAATAAACGCATAACCCATGTTATGACAAGATTCAGAGTACTCAAGGAACACTTCTCATTCCCTTAAAAAAAATTTTTTTAGAGACTATCCAGTAACTAAGCTGACAACTCCAAGTGCCATGGACCCCAATCACCAATCCATCCTCGCAAGTCTGTCAGCTTTTCATCCTAAATCTCTCAAATTCATCCATATCTTCCTATCTTCACTGATATGACCCAACTTAAGTCATGCAACAAATATTTATTGAGTATCTACTATACCAGATATCAGAAATCAGTGGTAAGACAGATACCTCAGGAAGCTCACATTCTAGTTGGGGGAATAATCTTTAACAAGGAAGCAAAAGAAATAAAATACTTAGACACAAAAAGGATGCTGGACACAGTTACTTTAGAGTGGTTAGGAAGGTCTCTCTCTGTTCTCCCAGGAGAGAACATAGCCCTGTCTTCCCTGGGCTACTGGCACACACTGGCTTCCCTACCTTTTTTCTTACACCTTGCAATCTGCTCCACACAGCAGTCAAAGTGACTCTTTAAACACAGCATTTGTCACATGTTCCCTGTCAATCTAAAATAATTTAAAAGGTCAGGATCTCATTTAAAGAGAGTTCATTCAAGCACAAAGGTTGAGGATGGCCTGCCCAGGAAGCACAGAATGGAAGAATGTGTCTGTCTTATACAGGATGAAAATCAGTGTTCCAAACTGTAGAAGTCTGTTAGGTTTAACAATTTCAACATCTTTCTATGCAAAGCTTAATGCATAATTTCAATGAACTGAGTAGTGAAGATGGTCTTTTTCCTTCAAGAAAGGTGTATTTCACTTTACATCCTGAAGATGTAACTGTCTTGGGGTCCCTGTTCAGGGCACCATTTGGTCTCAGGTACAGGACAATAAAGGACGCCATCTATTACAAACATCAGTGATTGAGAGGGGAGAAATCTGGTCTCTGCTCTTTCCTAGTCATTATAGAACAAGAACAGTGAGGAAGAGAATTAAGCTATAATTCTAAGAAGCAGAATTACAAAACATGCTACATGGATTCAGACCACAGCCACATCTCTCTCTCAAAGCTTAAAGCATTTGGGAAGTTCCAACAGCTTTTACATTTTATTTATTTTCACATTCCATTGCAATCAGAATCAGACTAAATTGCATTCAGGAAAAAAAAAATTAAGGCTGGGGGCAGTGGCTCATGCCTGCAATCCCAGCACTTTGGAGGGCTGAGGCTGGCGGATCACCTGAGGTCAGGAATTCAATGCCAGCCTGACCAACATGGTGAAACACCGTCGCTACAAAAAGTACAAAATAGCCAGGCGTGGTGGTGGGCGCCTGTAATCCTAGTTAGGAGGCTGAGGCAGAGGCATCACTTGAACCTGGGAGGTGGATGTTCCAGTGAGCCGCCGCGATCTTGCCACTGCTCTCCAGCCTGGGTGACCGAGTGAGACTCTATCTCAAAAATAATTTTGAACACCTACATTAGGGCACTGCTCAATGAATGGGAATGAATAGACAATATCTCTACCTTAAAAGAGCTTATATTTTAGTGAGAAGAATGAGAAAATACACACCATTTAAAAAACAAGTCGATAAGAAGGGCATTAGAGGAAAAAGTCTGGGAGGAGTGATGGGCAATGGTTCAGGCTGCAATGTTTTAAACCGCTCACGTAGATCTAGCCCTGCCTAACCACTAGTCCTGTTTCCCTCCCGCCTCTGTATATTTCAGTCGCTTAGGTGCAATACTCTTCTCTCTTTACTAGGCTTTCTGCAGATATTTCCCTCTGCCTGAACCCTTCCTTCAGCTCAGCTCAAATACCCCTTCCTCTGGGAAAACTTCCCACACGGCTAGATTTGTATTCTAGGCTCCCGCAGCACCTGCCCCTCACCTTTAAACACCGCTCACGCTCTGACTTTACATCCCGCTTGTACCTGTTTATCACTCATAATATCGAGTAAGCTCCATGCGGGCACAGCTATGATCTGCTGTGCGAACAACACGGAGCCTTTGTAGTAACTACTACGACCTAGCCTACTAGCGGAACACACGGAGAGCCGGAAGTGTCGCGTTCACTCCGGACGACCGGATGGGGAACTGCGCGGGCCACAGAGCAACCGGAAGTATAGCGTTCTAGTCCGGAAGCCCTTAGAAGGAAACGTCCGCAAAGGCTGGTTTTTAAGCGGGAGCGTCTCTTCACTCGCAGCAAGTGCGCGTGCGCTGTCTCCGTCAGCCCAAATCGGGAACATGGCCGTGCGGTCGCTGTGGGCGGGTCGGCTGCGGATGCAGTGCCTACTGTCCTCGACTGCCGCGTGGGAAAGCAAGTAAGCGTTGCACGCGAGGGGTCGGGAGCGTGAGGACTCTGCGGGGCTAGCGAGCCAGCCGGGTGATTGAGGGCGAGTTATCTGAGCGTAGGCGATGGGACCAAGCTTCTCCCTTTACGACCATGCACTTACGGCCCCATTTTGCAGATGGGGAAACTGAGGCACCCAGCCGCGCGCCTCAGTCCTAGGCCGAGGAAGGTGGGGAGATCCGAGGTCATGCATGGCCTGGAAGGTGAGAAGTCTCTAAGCCCCCAAGGGAGGGATGTACCTCTCTCACAGCTTCTTCTCCCAGTCTGTGGTACCTGTGGGTAAATTTGGGTTCTCTCCCCTCACTCCGTGGGAACTTAGGCCAGTCCTTTCTGCGTTACCCGGGCACTGTTGTACCTGTCATTAAAAGAAGGCCGCTGAACTTGGTTTCTCGAAACGGCCATTGCATCAGCCTTCGGGAGACAAGTTCCATTTGCTGCCTTTATCCATCGGCAGCTTTTATTGGTCGCTTTCGAGGCCGACTGCGGAACTATGGATGGTCTTTTTTATTATTCCCCTTTTAATAATTGAGGAAACTGAGGTTTAGAAAAGAAAAGTTGAGTAACTTTTCCAAACTTAAATATTTGGGAAGTGATGGAACCCAAGCTGGAAACCAGTCAGGGCATTAGAATCGGCGCTGTTATTTAATGAGACATGTTGATTAATTTTCTCAAGGTCTATTGCCCACACTGTTTCCTCCTGGGAAAGAGAATAAAAATGGTTGAGTAGGAGGTAGGGTTGGACCTCTGAATAGTAAAGTAAGCTACGGGAGAATCTGGTAAATGTGCTTAACTATATATGTAATCCTATTTATCTTAACACACCTGACCCAACATCCTACCCCCTAGCACCTGAGTGAGAGGCTGCATTCAGGATTTCGGGACTTGGTTTTTGTTTTCCGTTCTCAACTCTTTTTGGCAGCTTGTTGGTGATGTAAGGAAATGATCAGAAGAAAAATGGTTCCTTTTGATAAGCTGTCTCCGTATTCCAGTTCTGAAGCAGTAGGAATTGAGATTGGCCACAACTGCCACCTCCTACTTCTTGGTCTGAGTTTTGGCTATTTTCCCTTTGAACTGGCCCTGAGACTGTTTTGACCTGATTTTTCAATTGGATAACTATGTTTTTTTAGGGAGAAGGAGGTGTTTCACTGTGTGTAATTAGCCCCAGATCCACCGTGACCATATTTTCTGACCCCAGAATGTGGAACTGTCTATAAAATCACACACCAGATTATAATAATTGAATTTAAGACTGGCTTGGAAAGTCAAGGCGATAAAAGTCCTCTTGCCTACACCTTTAAACTTGCTGTTTGCTCTGCCTGGGACGTTCTTCCCTTTTTTAAAGCCAACTCCTTTAGCCCCTTTAAGCCTTTGTTAGCTGTCTCCTCAAGGACCACTCTACAATATATGCCAGTCCATATAAATGGTTTTAAAGAACTCTTGTACTCAGAGTGATTTTCATGACAAATTTTACTTAAAGTCAAATTACGAAGATCCAAGAGGTACAATGGAAACTTCCTTGACCTAGAGGTCAGGACTGCCACAGTCCAAGATTTGCTGTAAACTAGCCCCTAGTCCAAATTTCTTTCTGTGTGAACTCAAACAGTTTAAGTGTACAAAATTCTAGATTACATAATGAGTTGAATGCAAAGACCTGTTTTCACCTATGTCTGTAGTTCACTAACAGTAATATATAGTGTTGTATTTCATTGACTTGATCTTATATATAGGTGGGAATTTCTTTCTCAGCACAGGCTCTCCTAAAAGCCTTAGAGCTTGTAGTGAAGAAGGCTTAGAATTCTAAGCCTAACTCCAGTTTGATAAGGTCCCTTTACTGGACTTAATTTACCCCATTTGTAAGATGGAAGGTTGAACCAGAACTATATGACTTTTTGAATGTACACTTCTGGTAATGCTCCTCTGGTTCTGGGTATTAGCATTTGGTTTCCTTGTGCTGACTTTTGTATACCTAGTTCTGGCTATTTCTGCTGCTTGTTGCTCAGTGTCCTGACCCAGCAGAATACCAACTATGTGATCTTGAGCAGGTCATCATGCCTTAAGCCTCTCAGCATCATTTTTTTATCTGTAAAATAGGGATGATGGTAGGGTTTATCTCACATATTGCTGTGAGAAGAAAAGATGATAGTGTCTGGTGCATAGTAAGGACTTCATTAAGTGTTCATTTGTTACTATAACTGAAAACACTTTCTCCAGAGATTCAATCTGGAAAGATCTCTGGTCTCTAAACTTGGTTGTAATTTTGGCTTATGATGGCATTTCTTAATTATGTGCCACCTCCTTCCTGTTTTAGGGGATGGCCACTTCTATTCAGCACTGCCATCCAGAGAACTGCTGGTGAGGACTGCCGTTCTGAGGACCCTCCTGATGAGCTTGGGCCCTCTCTTGCTGAACGAGCCTTAAGGATAAAAGCTGTTAAACTGGAGAAGGAGGTCCAGGATTTAACGGTGAGTTGATTTTCTATTTGTTCTTCATATCCTCTCTCTAGTTTAAATATCCACATAAAGTTTTTTATGTCAATTTTTAAAATAAGTTTTCTCTAATTGGCTCTTTATGTGCTATCCCTCATCCCTCCTCCACTTCCTTGCTAGGTATACTAGGCAGAAAAAAAAACTGTAGTAGTTCAAGAACACCACTGGCTAAAGATAGTCATCTCTTTTCAGTTTCCTGTTATGTCACAGCACTTAGATATCTGACATTAGGCACACTTAAAGGGAGATAGATAAACCAGAGGAATTCCAAAGCAAAATCACCTAAAAAGGTAAGGAGGCTGGAAAGCATACCTTATGACAGTAATTGAAAGAACCAAGAATTGTAATAAGAATGAGAAAAAAGGACTAAAGAGGGTAAAATAACTGCCTCCAAATAGGTGACATACTTTTTTTTTAATGAGACATAGCTTCACTCTTGTCACCCAGGCTGGAGTACAATGGCGCCGTCTCAGCTCACCGCAGCCTCTGCCATCCGGGTTCAAGTGATTCTTCTGCCTCAACCTCCCAAGTAGCTAGACTTATAGGCACCTGCCACCATGCCCAGCTAATTTTTATATTTTTATTAGAGACGGGGCTTCAACCATGTTGGCCATGCTGATGTTGAACTCCTGACTTCAGGTGATCCACCCATCTCGGCCTCCAAAAGTGCTGGGATTATAGGCATGAGCCACCATGCCCACCTAGATGGCATACTTTTAAAACTTATTCTCAGTTATCCTAAGTTCAAGTCAATGAAAGGAAGTTCGAGGTTGGCAGTGTTGGCTGAATGTGAAAAAGGAAGCTTTTTCTCAAGATAATGAGCTTAAAGACTATTAGGAGTTTTAACTAGCAGGCTAAATGACTACCTAGCAGTGCTGCTGAAGAGTAGGTTTCTGCTTTGACTAGGGGTTTGGAGTAGCTGATTTAAGATTTCTGTAACTCCTAGTTTGTTTTATAAAAACCTATCAGAAGGGTGAAATTTGTAAAGTAAGCAAAAACATTCTCTTCCACCAATAGGCATTTGTTTTCTCATCCTTTTGATTTTGCTTTTGATGTTCAGGTGAGATACCAGAGAGCTGTAGCTGATTGTGAAAACATAAGGAGGCAAACCCAGAGATGTGTGGAAGATGCCAAGATATTTGGTGAGAGATTTATTTTACAATAAAAAATATCTTTGGCCGGGTGTGGTGGCTTATGCCTATAATCCTAGCACTTTGAGAGGCTGAGGCTGTCCGATCACATGAGATCAGGATTCAAGACCCGTCCAGCCAACATGGTAACACCCCCCCCCCCAGTCTCTACTGAAAATACAAACATTAGCTGGGCATGGTGGTGGGCGCCTGTAATCCCAGCTACTCTGGAAGCTAAGGCATGAGAATCTCTTGAACCCAGGAGGCAGAGGTTGCTGTGAGCCAGAATCATGCCCCTACACTCCAGCCTGGTCAACAGAGTGAGACTCAGTCTCAAAAAGAAAGAAAAAAATGTCTTTGATTTTAAGGTAGCTACCTGTTTTGACACAGGCCCTTAAGCCTGTCCCTGGATTAAAGTCAGATTAACAAAGTCCTTGCCTCTCACCAGCCCCCCACTGGAGCTTTGTTATTGTGTCATAGACATCTCTAATGATGATATTTCTTGCCCTCATTTCTGTAAGAAAAATAAAGTTTTAGAATTGAGAGTAATGGGATTTCTCAACAGCTGAATTTACTTTTATCTTGAAACAGTTCATATGACTCTTAAAAAAGTCAGACAAGTTTTGTGATCCATCTGCAGCAACTTCATAGCCAACTTACCTCATCTATGGCTGTATCTTACTTTCATGCTCCTATTTAACCAGTCCTCAAGAATAAACCATTCTTGACACCCCTTAGCATAGTGTCGTTGACTTTCTTTTTTTATTGTTACTTTCCTTCTCATGAAATAATCAATGTCTTGTCCCTGTTGAGAATGTAATGCCTTAGCACAACTGGAACAGGCAGGAATTTTCAAAATGTACATAAGACAAGCAAATAGCAACAGAAATTCATGATACATAAAAATAGTTGTTTTTAAAGGACAGGTTTAAGCCTGCTGTGTATAGTCTTACCTAGTTCTTGGATTCTATCTTTTCCATTTCCAAGTCAGGTTCCTAGTCATATTTGCCTTCTGAGAGAGACACTGATTTGTTGGTTGGGTTGGGGTGGTAATCAGTGATGATCTCTGAGTCCTGTGTGGCAACCTTTCCACTTGCTAGACTGCTCAGCATACTAGCCGTCTATCTACGCCTTACCCAAACTCTATGCCCAAGGACAGAGTGATTTCCTCACAAACAGTTAAAATGTCTGGCTTCTCTGCAGGAATCCAGAGTTTCTGTAAGGACTTGGTGGAAGTGGCCGACATTTTGGAGAAGACTACAGAGTGCATCTCTGAAGAATCAGAGCCAGGGGACCAGAAGCTCACTCTGGAGAAGGTTTTCCGAGGGTTGTCGCTTTTAGAAGCAAAGCTGAAAAGTGTGTTTGCCAAGCATGGCCTGGAGAAACTAACACCCATTGGTGACAAATATGACCCCCATCAGCATGAACTCATCTGTCATGTGCCAGCTGGCGTTGGGGTGCAGCCTGGCACCGTGGCATTAGTAAGACAAGATGGTTACAAACTTCATGGCCGCACCATTAGACTTGCCCGGGTGGAAGTGGCAGTGGAGTCTCAGAGAAGACTGTGAAGAGGCCATCAGGAACTGGATGTTCTCCCAGAGTGCAGTCACCTATGTTTCTTTTATTTATTAAACTAGGTTTGTATTGTACATGAGGTACTTCATGTGATATGTTTTGGATTTAGTCATATTGGCTTTATTTCTAAGATATTCTATTGATTTAATATGACCTGTTTGGTCTCATCAGAAGTCTTACCATTGGGCATTTGAACAGTGTGACAAGTGTTCCCATGGCCTTTATCAAAACATGTTTAGGAAAATTGGTACTCTGATGAATTTGAATCCAAAGTCCTTTTCACTATATGTTTTCAACTACATGTTCCTTCCTAGTGGTCCCTATGACAGGAATTGTATAGTATCTTGTATTTTGTGGATAAAGGATACAGTAGGGATTGGTTCAACATTTGGGTACTTAGGGGATAAAGCCTCTTAGTTGTATAAATTTATATCATTTGTGTTGATTTTTATACATACAGATTTTCAGGACTTTACCTTTTGGTTTTTTTTTGGGTTTTTTTTTTTTCCTTTTAGCCATCTTTTGTCCTTGTAATCCCAACTAAATAGGCTTTATGCTCACATCATTATCCCATACCCACCCCTTTCTCCTCCCCATTTGCAGGGGCTAAAGGTCTAGGTGAGACTTGGAAGACAAGGAGCATCAGGAAATTTGAGATACCCAGGACCCTTTCAAGCAAGAATGGCCAAAAAGCCTTGTGCTGTCTTTACTATGAGTTATCTTCAAATTATTTTCAGTCTCCCTGTCATATAATCGTTTCAGGCAGATTGAGGCAGCACTAACAGCTAATGACCCACATGGCTCTATTTAGGTAATTTATCTAGAATTTCTCGTTCCACCAGCCCTTACTTCTCTGCCCCTTTGTAAATGTTGCCTTATAATCCTTTATTAGATGATGGGAAGTGGTGATGATCAGGACAAAAGTGTTAGGTTCCCATGATTTCTTATTTATTAGTAGTTATGCGGAAATTTTTTTTTGTTTCCTCCTGCTGTATGTTATTTTTGGTGATAAGAACACTTAAGTATTCTCTCCTCTTAGCAATTTTTTTTCCTGTGTTGTCCAGGCTGACCTCCAGCTCCTAGGCTCAAGCAATCCTGCCTCAGCCTGCCAAGTAGCTAGGACTACAGGCGTTCACCACTGCGTCCACGAAGTTGTTTTTGTTTTGTTTTAAGTTGGTACTCACAAATCACTACCTCTGTTATACTGACAAGCTTTATTTCCTATTTTTTGTATCTGTTAGGTCACATTTGTGTAAACACCTAGCTCACTTTTTATATTTTAACCTCCTAGAGTTAATGGGCCTATGTGGGGTTTGTTTGTTTGTTTGTTTTTTTTTCAAATCTTATAGCTGGTGTTTTGTAAAAGATTTGCCCAATAAATGACTTAATGGATGAATGATACATCAGTCAGACTTTAGGAAGGCAGTCGATTATGGATTATTTTAATGTTGGAAGAGGACTTAATGATCGAATCTCATCCTTTCTGCTTCTGAAGTATGAAAATCTAGTCTTTTTAGGACTGAACCCAAGGAAAATAATCTCTAGATTATTGACTAAAGTTCAGTGAGAATATGAATAAAGAACAACTAGATATTAATGTCAGTCATTGGGCATGCAAATAAGTCCCCAGCAGACAGTCAGATGTTGGATATCCAGATTGTATAGGTTTAGGTTTAAGTTATTACTCATAAAATCCGTTTCCACTGGAACTCTATGACTTCATTCAGTGGAGTGGTAAAAAGTTGTCCTCTTACACATTGTGGATAACTATAAGACAGCATACAAGCATATCAATAAAGCCATCTCTTTGTGGGCCCTACCATCTTCATCAGATTTAGACACTTAAAAAAACAAGTAAATATGCACTTTTAAAATGTAATCAAAAGATTGGTGGTAAGCTTTGAAAACCAGAACATCTTTTGGCATTCCACTAAATGTATATTGTAAATTTAAGGAACAATCAAGATTCACAATAGGAAGTTGTCTTTTTTTGCCTTCATTTCTATGAGATTGACAGATGGTGACAATAAGAAAATGAGCTGATTATAATTGCTCTCTGTGTTTTTTTTTATTGCTAGCTATCATTACTAGTTAGAATTAACATTAATTAGAATTAACAATAATTTTAGGCATGGAATGTTATGATTACCTAAAGAGATGTCTCTACCTTCCGGGCTCAAGCGATCCTCCCACCTCAGCCTACCAAGTAGCCAGAACTACAGGCAAGCACACCACCATGTCTGGCTACGTTTTTTGCGGGGGGGGCATAAGGGGGTTGTTTGTTTCTTTTTAACAGGCAGGGCCTCGCTATATTGCCCAAGCTAGAAGAATTTTCTAATACTTTTTACACCTCCCATTTTGGCAAGTAAATTGAGAATGACTTTAGGTTTTTCTATTATTCAGTAGCTTTGCAGACTTAAAAGTGTAAATTTAGAATTAGAAGATGAAGCTATAATAGTAAGAATCTCAAGTTGAAGGACCTCGGGTTGCCAAAGCAGCATAATAGAGCATAGGCTTGAACTTAATTCTTTCACAACATTGTGAAAATTATGTGGAATGTGTTAAATGCCTACTACAGTAGGCTCTAGGATATTTATTTTATTTTTTTATTATGCACATTGTTTTTCCTGCCTTTTTATGGCTGTCTGAAGTCTAGGGAAAAGGGAAGACTGGTTAATGATGAGTTGAAAAAGCTTGTAAGCTAATCTTTCACTGACTTATTTTCCTTCCACCTTCTGTTTTTTAAAAATTAGCCACACCACACAAAACCCAAATTATTAGAAACAACAAGAAAATTGTTTCAGTGCTCTTATATTCACCTTAATGGTATAGTGAAAAGACATTGGCTTGCAGATGATACTACGGAAGCTTTGGCTTACTCTCACTTGAAAGTGGGATCTTGGTGTTTTCGTACTTGGATTGTACAAATCTTTTACTGACTTCTTACTGCTAAAAAGGAATCAGGCGGTTGGGTATTGATATGTTATTTGGTGCTCTCATTCATGGCAAAGGATTTGATAAATGAATAAAGATTCTTAAAACACTAAAGCAAAATCAGATGAGCAAAACTAAAGATGAAATGTAATATTCATCAGAACAAGGATCACTGAGAAAAATATTCAGAAACAACTTTAATAAAACCTGAATTGAAATAACCGCAGCTCAGGTGTTTAGAGTCTTTGTCTGCCTATTCATATTGTACATGGAACGTTACGGGTACTTCATGACTGCTGACCTGCCTCGTTGATGCTCTGGAAAGGTATACCAAGATCTCACAGCAGCACAGCCAAGTGGATGCAGTGTAGGCTTTCCACACCCTGCCTCAGTGTTGAAGTCTTGTCTGTTTTCTTACTCCTTGACTTGCCTCTTTCTGATTCCTATGTATTTCTTTTTTTTTTTTTTTTTTTTTTTTTTTGAGACGGAGTTTCGCTCTTGTTACCCAGGCTGGAGTGCAATGGCACGATCTCGGCTCACCGCAACCTCCGCCTCCTGGGTTCAGGCAATTCTCCTGCCTCAGCCTCCTGAATAGCTGGGATTACAGGCACACGCCACCATGCCCAGCTGATTTTTTGTATTTTTAGTAGAGACGGGGTTTCACCATGTTGACCAGGATGGTCTCGATCTCTTGACCTCGTGATCCACCCGCCTCGGCCTCCCAAAGTGCTGGGATTACAGGCTTGAGCCACCGCGCCCGGCCGCCTATGTATTTCTTAAATCGGAATTCCTATTTAGTGAAGATGGGGGTCTCACCACATTGGCCAGGCTGGTCTCAAACTCCTGACCTCAGGTGATCCACCTGCCTCTGCCTCCCAAAGTACTGGCATCACAGGCATGAGCCACTGCATCTGGTCCTATTTCTGCCGGATTACTGACTATTCTCACCAGATTACAGACACTTGGCCTTGTTCTGACCTTCAGCTTCCACATGTTCATCCTACCTTCTGACTGCCTGGCCTTGTCTTTACCTCTGCTCCTCAGCTAGCTTCCATATACCTAGACTCATGGCTGAATGGCCCTCTGCTGGGCCAGCCTTTCCTGGGATTTGGTCTTGCATTTTCATTATCTTTCCAATCCTATCGGTATACTGTAGCTCCATAAACCATTTTTCCCATATTCCCAGTGCTACTTAATCAGTATATTATTCCTATCCACTCAGATGTTGTCCATGCTCTCAAGTTCACTGTGGTGGTTTTAAAATGGCTCCAGAATTCCTTGACACCTTTACTGAGGATTAGGGCCTATGTCCATTCTTGAGTCTCCTTGGAGCTTTGTGATTGCTTGACCAATAGAATACAGTGGAATTAACACTGCCATTTTCTGGATGCAAATCTTAAAAAGCTGGTATCCCCCACTTCCTGTCTTGGGATGCTTACCCTTGGAACCTTACCATCATGCCAAGAGCAAGCTGGGGTAGCCTATGGAATGGAACTGAGGGCCCTGGTTGAGCTTTCAGCTGAGCCAGCATTATCTTGCCAGCCAGTAAGCCATCTTGAAGGTGGATCTTCCCATACCCAGTGGAGCAGCTCCAAATGATACCACATGGAACAGATGAGCTGATCTTAGTCCTGCCTAAGGTGCAGTGTGAGCAAAATAAATGTTACTTTAAGCCACTAAATTTTTAATGGTTTCTTACACAACAGCAGATGAAATGATAGCCACCCCACTGCATTCCCAGTCTGGCACTCTGCCACAAGAATTGTGCCTACTTGCTTTTTCCCTTATCAGCTCTTTTGAATTTCTCTCGCAATGATGATAAGCACACACTCTGTCAATGGGCTGGTAGGGTTAGAAGGGCTTCCTAACAGAAGAAAACAGCTCTAAATTCAAGAATTACAAAGGACCCTAAAATTACAAGCAAAGTATAGTCAAGAAGATGAATTTGAACACTAACATGATTTACCCAACAAAAAATGACAATCAGTTCATCAGTACATAAGAGAACTTGGCACACAATGGTCAATGAATGCTTGTTTTAAAAACTGTTTAAGGGAGTATGTGGAATCTTTTTGGGGGAGCTGCTGTCATCCAGAAAGATCTGGGAGGCAAGTCAGCCTTCATCCTGGTTTTCTGGTCACCCCAGAGAGGCCACTCTGAACAGCACAGGCTTCCCAGCCCCAGGGGCACTGTACTGCCTCTGTGCCTGGACCACCTCCACCGGCCTGCCCACCTCCCACCTGGAAATGAACTTAAAAGGTGTTGCATCCTGACACATTGCCAAAAGAAAATTTTAAGATTATGACAAATGCATGACTATTCAACTACCAGTTTACTAGTAGTAATCCAGTTTGGCCCAAGTAAATTAAGTCTCAGTGCTGACTTAGAACCCCAGCTATAAGCTCTTCCACCATTCTCTGAATCCCTTCAGGTTTTTGTTTTTGTTTTGTTTTGTTTTTTTGAGTAGGAGTTTCACTGTGTCGCCCAGGCCGGAGTGCAGTGGCCCTATCTCAGCTCACTGCAACCTCCACCTCCCGGGTTCAAGCGATTCTCCCGTCCCAGCTTCCTGAGTAGCTGGGATTACAGACGCCCACCACCACATCCAGCTAATTTTTGCATTTTAGTAGAGATGGAGTTTCAGCATGTTGGCCAGGCTAGCCTCGAACTCATGACCTTAAGTGATCTCCCAAAGTACTGGGATTACAGTCGTGAGCCACTGCGCCCGGCCCAGTTTCTTATTTTAGCCATAATCTGACTGAGTAAATACGGATTGTATTTATTTTTATATATTTAATTTTAGAGGCAGGGTCTCTTGTCACTCAAGGCTGGAGTGCAGTGGCACAATCATAGCCCACCGTAACCTCAAGCTCCTGGCCTCAAGCCTCCCACCTCTGCCTCCTGAATAGCTAGGACTACAGGGTGTGCACCACCACTCCTGGAAATTTTTTTTTTCTTTTTAGAAAGGGGGTCTCTGAGTCTCACTATGTTGCCCAGGCTGGTCTCAGACCCCTGGCCTAAGCGATCCCCCTGCCTGACCTTCCACAATGCTGGGATTACAGGCTTGAGCCACCCCCAGCCTCCGGATTTTCTTTATTCTGAAACCCATCCCTAATTTTATTTTCTGCCAGAGGAAATCTGTTTTTCACAGCGTGATAAACTAGCAAGTCTGAGATAGCAACTATATAAAAACTGCAAACACATAAATAACAGCCATATCGAAAGCATAGGGCTTATGTCAGCATAAGAATAGGTTAGCGCCTTCCCACCCTGGCCACATGCTTGGTCAGCAATTTCCAGCACTTGAAGACACTGCAAAGGGCTTCACACCGCTCATCTTACAAGATGGTTACAACCACCTAGAAAGGTGGAACAGGACTCTTCGTCTGTGTTATAAAAAAGGAAACAGTGAGACACAGAGAAGACACAGAGCCAATAACGCAGAGGTTGGACATAACTGAGGTCTTCAAAGCTTCAGTTTTGCCTCTTTCACCCGTAACCCGCAGCTGGGCCCTGGTCCTGATGCTGAGGCCCCAAGGCGCATACACCTGCGCCGGGCAGGAATGAACCAGCCAATGAGGAGCCCGTATGCAGGGGGTGGGACGGGAAAGCTGCCAATGAGAGAGCCGACCCCGAGAGACACGGAGCTAATGAGGGCTTTGTGCTGGAGAGGGACGGCTGTTCGGCCAATGCGGGGCTGGGTCCGGCGCAGCAGGAAGGCGGGACTGCCAGTGGGGCGCCGGGGCGGGGCGTTCGCGAGCAGCCGAACCCGGCGTGCTGTCCGCTCGCCGCCCGCCATGGCCCGCGCAGCCCCGCTGCTCGCCGCGCTAACCGCGCTTCTCGCCGCCGCCGCTGCTGGCGGAGATGCTCCGCCGGGCAAAATCGGTGCGGGAAGGACGCGATGGGGTTCCCAGCTGGGGAGGGCCGGCGAGTAAAGGGTTCTCAGCTCTCAGCTAGGTGGGGGTAGAGGAGGGCAGCTGGGTGAGGGAGGGGTCCTCGGGAGAGGAGGTGGGTGGAGGAGAGGGCGGAAGGGGACGCGGCAGGGAAGGTCCTGATGGGACCGGGGCGTGGCATGTGAAGAGGGCCACCTGGGACGGAAAAGAGGCCTGAGCAGGACTGGTCACGGATCTCACCGGGGGGTCCAGGATCACTGAGCATCTGCCGTGAACCTGGCTGTTTTCAAGGCGCCGGGTGACAGAAGACAGAGAGGCTGGGCGTTGGCATTCACAGAGGTTGGTTGAGGGCTGTCTGTGTAGCAGATGTGGTGCTGTAGTTCCTGCTGTGGGAAGAGCCCTCACAGTACAGGGAAGTCCATGCTGAGCTGAGAAAGTACAGTCCATGCAGAGGAAGGGCGCGTCATCTCTCTGCGGCCCCAGGAGGGCTTCTTGGAAGTAACATCTAAGCCAGACCCCCACCCCAGGTCGATAGGAGACAGTCCTGGCAGAGACAGAACACTAGGTCTGCTGGAGATTTGCTGACAGAACAGGGAACTTTTAACAACGGTCATTTTGTTTATTGCGTGTGTGGTTTCTCCAATACTTTATTTTGAAAATGTTCCCATGTACAGCAAGAATTTTATAGTGGTCGTCTGTATACCCACCACCTACATTCTGCCATTAACTGCTACTATGCTTGCTATGTCACATAACTATCACTCACCCTTCTAGACATCCACGAATCCATCCTACATTTTGATGCATCCCCAAATAAATTGCAGACATCAGAACACTTCACTAAATACTTCATCGTGCATATATCATTGACTAGAGTTCCATATGTGTTTACAGTTGCTTTTTTTCCCCTCCCTCAACAATTGTCTTTTTAACTACATGACTCGTGAAGATTTTCAAGTCCCTCGCACATAATATTCACACAGGCAGAGATGCTGGGCTTCGGGGTGGGACGACAAAGGCCCTACTCCACTATGCTACCCTCCATGCGCCCCAGTTGGCAGGAGTGCCTGGAACATCTCATAGAAGCACTGCAAACTTACAGTGTCTAGTGCAGTGCTAAAGCCTTTTTTTGTGTCAGAACCACAGCCCAGGCCATACAGGATTAAGACAGACTGAAGCATGCCAGGAACCAGTTTGAGACTGAGAATTTAGGGCTTTCCATGAAAAGAGAATCCTGAGGCTAGAGTAGGCAGAGAAGCCCTCATGGAGAGAAGGTGGAGTTTGAGCCAGGCTTTGAAGGATGTGGAAGAGTTAGGCAGGCAGTATCCATGAGTGA